TGCCCAAATAGTGTTTTAGGAAGTCCACAATAGCGTTAAGTGGACTGAAACCTCAAGATTAAGAAGGCTCCCAATCCTCCTCCATGGAAGAAGACCTATCCACAGCAACCTCAACCAGCCAACAGGCATCTGACTGATGTGTTATCACCAAGATTGTGAAGAAGGCATCATAAATCATATGTAAAGACTTGTACTAGAAGACTGAAGATACTACTTAAACATGTAACAGCTAAGAATTAATTTGGGCTTTTTTTGTAACAAGATAGCAATAAGACAAAGGTTGTATAATGAAGATATTTTCTTCTAAAACGATTATTGGATCATGTCTCAGTCTTAAAGAAGAGCCTCTGAGCATTTTTTTTTTATTATCATGGAACAAATGTTCCAGTCCAGTAGAAATCACCATGAACACATATAGACAGAACAGAATACGGAATAGCAGAGTTGGGAGGGACTTTGGAGGTCTTCTAGTCCAACCCTCTGCTCAAGCAGGAGACCCTGTACCAGACAGATGGCTATCAATCACTTCTTTAAAAACGTCCAGTAATGCAGGTAAGCCATTCTCCTCGTTAATTGTTCTCACTGTCAGGAAATTTCTCCTTAGTTCTAGGTTGGATCTCTCCTTGATAAATTTCTTGTCCTGCTCTCAAGGGCTTTGTAGAATAGGTTGACCCACTCTTCTCTGTGACAGCCCCTCCTCTTATGTCACCCCTGGTTCATTACGCTTCATTTGACTAGATACACCCAGCTCCTGCAACCCTTCTTCATATGTCTTAGCCTCCCATCCCTTAATCATCTTTGTTGCTCTTCTCTGAGCCCTTCCTAGAGTCTCAACAACTTTTTTGCATCATGGTGGCCAAACTGGACACACTATTTCAAATGTGATCTTATCAAAACAGTGCAAAGCAGCACTTAGCACTTCATGTGACCTTGATACCACCCCACTGTTGATGCAGCCATTGGTCTTGTTGGCAGCTGCAGCACACTGCTGGCTCATACTTAAGCGGTGGTCCACGAGGATCGCTAGGAGCCTTTCACAGGGACTAATGTTGACCCAAGAACCACCTATTCTGTATCTGTGGATCTGGTTTTTCTTGCCTAAGGCTAAAGTCTTACTTTTTTTCACCATTGCATTTCATTTTGTTAGATAGGCTCCAGTGTTCAAGTCTGTCAAGATCAATCTGGATCTTGAGTCTATTTTATGACTTCCCTTTCTATTCCTTCATCTGATATCCGATGTAGTCTGCATAGTCAACATAGACTTAATATGGAGAGTTATATCTGACATGATTCTACATAGTAAGCTACAAATTAATCCTGGGTGTAGCTTTTTGCTGCTGCAGTATTGTAAAAATGTGCATCCCAAGCATACATTCTCATAAATTTTTATTGAAAGTATGGATAATTATATCTATGGGTAACTAAATATAAAAATGCTTGTAGGTATTGTTACCTGCTGTTGGGCATGTGCACACACACAATACATACATACCCCTGAGTGATGTATTATTGCTGAGTCATTCTTTTTGACATCCAAAGGGGCTGATGGAATCCATGCAACTGCTAGGTGAATGTAAAGACATGGCTCACCTGGGCCTCTCCCAAGCTAAAGCATGCAAAACAAGAAAGCAGTCAGGGCAGAAACCACTCCAGAGAGGCAGGACAAAAACACCCTGTCATTTGTGCACAGCTCTCTGAATTTTGTTGAATGACTGAGAACTGCTGGGCAACCACCTGTCTTATTTCAAGGACAGAAAGTTTTCGGTACAAACACAGAAAGTAACTTGGCTCTATAGGAAAACTGTTGGGACTGTATACCCAGCTATGAGGATAAGAAGACTAGCTTCATATTGCTAGAGGTAGATTTTCAGAGCTATTAAATGCTGATTATGAAATGTCTGGTTAACTGAGTTACTTCCTGCTGAGTAAGTGGAGACTCCATGAGAAATATAAGGCATCTGGTTTAAGAGTTCCTATTTTTTTCTTTTTCATCAAGTGTTTGGCTAATATGAGACTCTAAAAAAGAATAAGAAATAAAAAATAAAAAATATTTCTGCTCAATCGAAAGAAAGAATTAGAACTCTTTTGAAGAGAAGACGGAGGCAGGCGCATATCAACACACTTTCAAGTACCTGAAGGGAAGTCGAAGAAAAAAAGTTCTCCAGACTGCAGGATGTGGGATAATGGATTTTATTGTTGGATTTTGAATGATTATTAGGAGGGAATGGTACGGATGCTGCCGCTGCGCTTGAGCCTCAGAGGGTGGCATCTGCGGGGGGGGGGGGGGGGTTTTCCTTCTTCCCCACGGCACAGAAGAGCCGATGTCATTTTCTGCTGACTCAAGGGAGGGGAGGGGCTGGGGCTGAGGTTGAGAAGCCGCAGACCCCGACCAGCTCAGCCCAGCCGTGGAAGCTTCCAGGGCAGCTTCGGGGGAGAGGAATGGGTCCTGGTCTCTCAGACCAACGTAGAAGGCCGCGAGGGCGGGGGTCAGGTGGGAGGGGAGGGCGGCCTCTCCAGAACCACCTTGAGCTCCCCAGGAGAGACGCAAGAGGGGCGACCTTCCCCTCCGCCTCTTCTTCCAGCCCGAGGGCTCCTCTCCGGGATTGGGGGTTCTGCCCTGAGCAGCGGGTGGGACTGGATTGCCTGGAGGAGCCCCTTTGATCATTCGGAGGGCGACTGGTTGGCAGGCCTGACCAGAGCCCCCAAAGGCGGCCTGGAAGCCCCAAACGCCGCGACGGCTCCGCCCGAGGGATTTCCCGGAGGAGGTCAGGGAGAAACCGAGCGCCTCTTCGGCCCGCTTGCTCCTCCGGGGAGAGGAAAGGCGCCGTTGCACTGCAGCACTTTCGCCCGAGGCTGCCGCCGCCGCACCAGGCGGAGCCAGCCCACCTCTCCGGCTTCCCGGCGCAGAGCCGGAAACTTCCCTGGCCGGCTGGAAGAGGCCGGGAAGGTCCTCTCCTTCGCCGGGGCCCTTGCTCGGAGGCGGGGGCAGGAGCGGGCGCCTTTGGCTACTGTCAGCCTAGCGCTCCTCAGCCCAGAGGCCCGCCCGGCCGGCCGCTCTCCCTTCCCGGGGACCCGCCTCTTGCCTCGCCGTTTGCTCGGAGGCGCAGAGCGCGGCTGGCAGCCGGAGGCGCCGCGGGAGTCCAGGGTCTGTTCCGAGTCCCGCCGTTAAGCCGCGGCCAGCTGGCGCCCCTCCGCCCGCCGAGACGCTGCGTGGCAGGCGCTTCCCCCCGCGGCTCCCTCGGGAAGCGAGCTTGGCCCAGGGCGGCTTGCGCGGTCCTGGGAGCAGCCCCGGCGGTCCAGAGTCCCCGGGAGCCCCTGCGGGGAGAGGCGCTCGCTCCCTCGCTCGCTCGCCCGCCCGGGACGCCCCGCCGGCCGGCCTCTTCCCGGCGCCGCAGCGGCCGCCGGCCCCTGTCCCAGGTGCTGAAAGCGCTCGGCTCCCGCCCGCCCGACGGCTTACCGCGCTCCAGGCTGTGACGCAGCGCCTCCCGCTCCGGCTCCGTCCCGATCTCCCCGATCACCGCCAGCAGCGCTTGCCGCCGCCCGCCGCCGCCCGCCGCCTCCATAGCCGCCGCCGTCCACGACTCGCGCTGAGCAGAGGCCGCGGGAGCCGGCTCTTAAAAGCGCTCGGCCGCGCGCACCTTGGCCCTTCCCCGCGCACGAGGGGCGGCTGCCCGGGCGGCGGCACGTGGCCGGGCGAGCTCGGCGAGAGAGTGGTCCGCGCCGCCACTGCGACACTCGCCCGCCGCCCGCGCCGCCCTTGCTCCGGAGGGGCCGCTGAAGGGTTGTCTGCAACGGGCGGGGCGCCCCGTCTTCGTTTCCCAGGGGAGCGTCGTCGGCGTCCCAGGCTAGCGGGCAGGCGGCCGGCGTCCTCTGGCCGTCTCCTTGGGCGGCTTGGTTGGAAGAGCTAAAAGCGGCGAGGGAGCGGGCCCGCAGGAAGAATCGGTATTTTCTTCCAAGGAGAGTAAATGAAACGAGTCCAGAATCCCAGTAAAAGCACAGCAGGATAAGAAACTATTCCACATCCGGAGTAGTTTGTATGCAAATTGAAGCAGCTGCCCGCTTAGCCCAAAGTCAAGCCTGACTTGTTAGTAGCAGTCCTCCCAACCCCAACCCTTGGGCGGCCCGCTTCTGACAGCCACTTTTATGCCTTCTCCTCCACTCCACGAACAGCAGCAGGTCCCCTTCTCCCCTAAGAGCTGCATCACAAGGGCCTCCTGAAACCCAGGCGTGCCTTACTGGCAGGGTTCACTCCCTCCAGGCACCTCTTCGCAGTCTCAAAAAAAGAAGCACGCAACAGCCAAAAGGCCGTGGCCAGAGCGGAGCAGGGATCTGGGTCTTGCACCGTCGCCTCCTTTGCGGGGGTGTGTGTGTGTGTCTCTCCACATCCCACCCCAGAAGAGAGGGGCGACCTCAGTCAGGTCTGCCCAAAGGGGGCTGAGCCCAAAAGAACCCAAGAGGCCAAAGGCAGCCCTCGGAAGCCAAGGCAGCTGGGCGAGTGGGAGGGAGCGGGCAGCGCCCCCGTGGACCCAGGCAGGGCTCAGGCCGGGAGTCCATTCTAGCCTGCCTCCCTCAGGACCCCTGGGCTACCTGCCTGGAACCAACGGTCAAACCACCGCCTTCATCTCGCCCTCTGTTTGAAAAGGGGGCGACACGTTGGGCCAGCATCGCGCCCTCGTCTCCGAACTCCCACTTCAGGGAGCGCATTCGCCGCCCTCAGAAGAGCGCCGCCGGTGGCGACGGGCCCAGCGAGCGAAGCCCACGGGGGCCCCGGGCGAATTCCGAGCCTGCAGGTGAGAGGACCGGGAAGGCCCCGCCCACGCCCCGCCCCGCCCCGCCCCGCCGCTGCTAAACGGCCCAGGACGCGGAGGCGTGGCGCCAGCGGGGCCCTGCTGCGCCTGCGCACGTGCCCACAGGGAAGGCGCCCATGCATCCTTGGGAAGGGGGGCGCGTGCCGCGCGAGCGCCCTGCGGCTGCGCAGAGCCGGGACGTCGCCCCGCCCACCGCCCTGCCGCCGCCGGCGTCGCCATGGACCCGTCGGGCTCGACTTGCTCGATGGCCGACACGCCTCGCCTGCTGGTGGAGGACTCGCAGCCGGAGCCGGAGCCGGAGCGGGGCGGAGAGGCGCTGAGCCCGGTCCTGGAGCCGCCGCCGCCGCCGCGCTCGCTGGTGTGCCCGGAGGCCGGCGAAGGTAAGGGGGAGGGGCGCGGCCTCCCGGGCGCTGGGGCCTCTCCGGGCGGCGGCCGAGCCTCCCCCGCCTCGCAGCGTCGCCCTCGCCCAGCCCGATGGGGAGCGCGGCCAGAACCGGACGGGGCCGGCGACGTGCGGGAGGGCCGCGGGGGCAGCCCTGGGCCTCGGCCCGCCTCTCCGCTCCGCTCCGCTCCGGAGGGTCGGCGGGGCGGGCGGAGAGGCAGCCTTGGAGCGGGCGGCGGCGGCCTCCGGGAAGGGCCCCTCTTGCCCTCCGCCGGCACAGTCGGGCGACGGCGGGCGGAGGCGGCTAAAGCGGGCGTGGAACCGGCGGCGGGACGGCGGAGGCTCTGCCCATTTCGTGCCCGGGCCCCGGTTAAAGTTGGGCTGCCCGCTCCCCCGCCCCGCTGGCGGGCGGTTTCTGTGCCGGGGGAGCCCCGGGAAAGGTGCCGCCTTCCAAAGAGGCCGAGAACGGGGCTTTGCCTGGCGCCGTCGGAAGGCTGCCTTTCAGTTGTGGGGAAATGTTCGCCTTGGAGGCCCAGGCAAGCCCGTGAGACCCACAGGGCTCGTTGGGTGGATGCCATGCTTGGTCTCAAAAGACCCGGGAGGCTGCCCAGCTCCCTCTGGGGAGGCTGCGGGGGCGGCCCTTGAGGCCCAGCTCAGGCTTTGGGCTGCTGGGCAGGCCCTGGGGGCCCGGGGTCAGCCCTACTTCGCCTGGCCGGCTGCTGGTTTGCTCTAGGTGAAGCTCAGGTTCTACTAAAGTCATTGTGACAATTTCATAGCTTGTAACCAAACATCCATTCCTGGTTCTTTCTTAGTTCCACCTGCAGACCAAGATAAAGCCGGCTGTCGTATAGTAAGGAAACCCAGCAGTGATTCTTCTGAAGGGTAAATATCTGTCAAATTTGTTTTTCACCCACCTGGGCATCTAACTCGCCACAACTAAAACAAAAGCAGAGACGCCTGGAAAGGAATGGAGCCGTGGGGCGTCCCTCTCTTTTGTGAAAGGCCTGCAGGAACAGCCTTTCTAAGCCACAGCCGGGTGGGGCCTCCCGGTTTCCATGGGGGGAGGGATCTCATCCCAGAGGGCAGGCATTGCTTCCGGGAAGGGTCTCTTGCTGGGATGATGCTGTTGAAGGAACCCGGAGCACCTAAGCAGGCCAGATCAGGGCAGTTGGGCAGACGCTACAGGAGACCGTCTTTCCAAGAGAAATGATACAATCAGAGCGTTGGAAGGAATCGTGCAGATGGACAGACGAAGGCGTTTTCCTAGGCAGAGAATTTCTTTTGTCTTTCTACTCCTGCCATTAAGATGCTTTTCCTAATGTTCACCTGGAATTGCCTTCCTGTAACTCAGGATTGTTGTTATTCTGTACTCTAGGATGTTGTTGCCCTGTGTAGCCTCCCTTCAGCCAATTGATATGTGCCACCGTAATTCCCCTCTTCCTGAGGCTACGTGATCTGATTTCTCTCAATCCTGGGTTTGCAGCTTTTTAATGTCATTGAAAAGAAATTCTCTGAGACTTACTTGTACATCTGGTGTGTTTACCATTTGTTTTGACTGTCTGCAAAGTTACAAGTTGGTACCTATGCTGGGCCATGAGAAACATTTCCACTTGAATTCCACAGTTCAAGCTCCGTGTCCAGCCATGTCCCTGGAATAATGCAGCCCCATAAAGAAACTCCCGAGAGCCCAGTGTCTGCCTGCCTCCTCCTGGAGAGGACACCGCCAGTGAAGAACCCTCATCCTTGGCCATTGGAGGAGGTTGAGCCTGTCTCTTCTACGCAGGAGGACATGTTTGGCCAGAATAGCTCAACAGGTGATGGGAGGCTGTGATCTTTTTCTTGCTCAATGTTCCCACTTTGAAGTCAGGCTGGCCTGCTTTGCTTATCCCGGTACTTGAGGAGTGGGTGATAACTAAGAGAGGAGACTGTCTGGGCCCCCACAAAATGAAGACTAATTTGAAGCAGGACGGTGAGGAACGTAGTACATACGCCGTCTGTCTTGTGAGCTAAGTGTAAGTGGAATAGAAATCGCTTGGTCCTGTCATGGGACCATGACTTTGTGGAGAGCAACCTACACCTGCTGTTTAGAGCCCTAGAGCTGAATGCCATGCCCCCCCTCCCCATTGTGCAGGGACAGGAAGGGGGGGTACTGGTTTCATTTCAGAGAGAAAGTTTAATGCCCATTTGCACTTGTTGTATTACCAAAGTATCTGTTTCCAGCAAATAAATTTATTGTTGTAACTAAAGTTATTGTTGTAACAATAAATAAATTTATTGTTGTTCCGTGGTGAATATTGGAGCATTACCCTCTTGTCTTGTTCAGACAGCTTTGAGTATGTTGTAACCTGAATCAGCAATGTTGAGAAAAGTAACAAACAGGGCTGTGGGTTTCTCAGAGCAGAGGGATTCTCGTCATTCCCCTGTGGCATCTGGAGAGCCCCAGTTCTTGGGTGCTAGATTTTTTTCCTGACCTGCCAGGAGCAGCTGACTGGCTCCCCAGGAAGCAGACTGGCCTCTCCAGGGGAAGGTATTTCTTCAGTGCTGGAGAATGGGAAGCTTCTTCCTGCCAGCCACAGTGTTCCTAGCAGCCATGCGAAGGGTCCAAGGTCCTTTGCAGTTTGGGGTAGGTGCAGGAAAGCAGCCCCAGCAGCTGGGACCTGGATTCTGAAGCGACTCTCTTCCGTGTTTTAATGCACTTGGAATAGCTCCAGGCAGACTGGAAGAGGCCAGTTCCCCATCATCCACTCCAGCTGATCCTCTGCGCGTCCTTCAGCTCTCTGGACAAGGGCCTCTCTCCAAGTAAGTGGCAAGCTTGCCAGGGTCTTTTCCGCCCGATGCATGCTTCTTTATGTCTCTCCTGTTGAGGTGCCTTTATGGGTGTCTTTCTTTGGGATCCTTTTTCTAATCGGTTGCTTTGCTTTGCTTTGCTTTGCTGCTGCTTCTTTCTCCTTTTGGTGTTCCGTGATTTTGTTTGGGTTCTTGCTCTTCTCTGAAAATTTGAGGTGTGGAAAATATTTCAAGGCTGGCTCTAAACTTGAGATTACTTGCAGTCCATTTTGAAGTTGTACTGTCAGATCTGGAAATCAGAACATTCGTGCTTTGAGATGGTTTGGCCATCTCTGCTGAGGACCGAGGACTCCGCTTTGCTCTTCAGCCTTTTGCTTGTCTTCTGTTGGCCAAAGTAGAGGGATGGGGGGGGGGGGGTGCAGATGGTGGAGGTCTTTATCTGTTCACTGTTCTCTCTCCCCTTAGTTGTGCTTCAGGTCTTGCTAGAACAACTTCTGATGTCTTACAACCAGTGCCTTTTATTCTTCCCAGAAGCCCAACTGAACAGGAGGCAGGAGGTATGCCATCCCTTTTTGCCAGATTAGTTACACCTGGGAATGTCCCGGTTCCCCGCTTGGTTCTTGGGGGAGGAAGAGGCTCTGAGGACTGACTTGATCTTACATTTAGGAATGGCAGTACAGTGGAGTAGTCCGTTTTCCCTTCATTTGCCACGAGGCTTTCTTGTTTTCTATTTGTTTAGAAAGTGTATATGGCTGTCCAACTCATTCACGATGACTTCGGGAGACACACGATAGTAAAGCCTCCCATAAGCCCCCACCCCCCCTTGCCTCCCTGGCAACAACAACCCAACAAACCGTTTAGTGGGCTCCGTATCACCCTCGAGGCCCACTGGCAAAACCATGTCTTCAAAGGAGTCCTTTGAAAGACTATGGAGGAGGGAGCCACCACGGAGAAGGCTCTTCTTCTTGGTTCCACTAGATGAACCTCCTTAAGAAAGGAGACCTGTAACATACTCTGCCTCCCCCATTCTGGTGGGTCAGATGGACGAAAGTGGGAAAAGGCAGTCCTTCAAATAACCTAGCCCCAAGCCTTGTAGGACTTGGAAGGTGACAACCAGCACGTTATTGTGAATTCTGAATTGGGCCCAGAAGCAGATTATGAACTAGTGCAGCTCCTGCAAGAAAGGTGAAGGGTGTGCACATCTATACTTGCACCAGGCTGCTGCATTTGGACCAAGTGAACGAAGTGAAATTTCTGGGAACTGTTCAAGAATGGCCCCATCACAGCAGTCAAAAGTGGTGTCAGTTTTCTAGAAGTGCTAATCTCCACTTTTTTCACAATTCTAACTAGGAAAGCAGGAAAGCCCACCGTTGGAGACTGCAGGCACCCTTCAGGGCTCTGTTCCAGTTTCTCAAGATGCTTTTGTGCTGCCATCCCAGCCCGAGTTCTCTCACGTGAGTGACTGCCTGAGCTGCTGCTGCTGCTGTGAATGCAGGTAGCAGCCAGGCAAAGGGCCCAGTGAGCCTGTCACATTCCGAAAGGCCTTTTCTGCAGCAGAAAAAATTCTGAAGGTCCAATGGTCAGCTTGGGAATAGCAATGGCACTTAGACTTGTATAACGCTTCACGGTGCTTTACAGCCCTCTCTAACCACCTGAGTCCTCATTTTACGAATCTCAGAAGTAGGGAAGGCTGAGTCAATCTTGAGAATCGAACTGCCAAACTGCTGGCAGTCAGCCGAGGTAGCCTGCAGTGCTGCATTCTAAGCACTGTGCCCCCGTCTCCTGAGGGGAAATTTCTGTAGACTTTTCCTTAAAAAGGGCCTGTCAGGGATAGCTAGTCTGCCATAGAATTTCACTTGGAAGCTTGCTCGGTGCCAGCCACGAAGGCAGCTGACTCCGGGTTGCAGAGCGGCAGGAGGGATGGCATCCCTTTCCTTTTCCTTTGCAGGACCCCTTTCTCCCCACTCCAAGCCTGGAGGAAGGCTGTAAGACAGGAGCCGAGAAAGGAGGAGGAAGTTCTGCAGAGGCTTCCCTGGCGGAGGCTTCCCGAGAGGACGACTGTGTTTTGGCCCTCTCGGCCAGTCAAGGCAGTCAGGGGACCCCAGCGGAGGAGGGGAAGACCCCTGGCCATGCTGCTTCGCGTGCGTTGGAGGAGAAGCTTCGCTTGCCTGAGGACTGCAGTGAACAGGAGGCTGAGGAGGAGGCTTCCCTTGGTGACCCTTGCAGTGACCTTGGCCATGAAGGCAGCGGGCCAAGCAGGGCATCTTTGCTCCCGGAGACTCCCTGTGAAAAGCCAGAAGAAGTCACGTTGCTGGATGAAGGACTCTCCCTTCGTCTGACGATTTCCCAAGCCGTAGAGCAAGCAGAATGCTCTGCAGTTAGGGAAGCCTTTCCCCCAAACGATCCACAGGTAACTGGCGAGTCAGGAAAGGTAGAGCAAGGTCCTCTGGATCATCCCAGCAAGGCTGGGCTGGAAGCGCAGAGCCTGAGTCGGAGGGTCCATCCTGGAATGATGCTGCAACAGACCGATTCTGAGCCCCGACCGGAGCAGGGGAGCAGGCAGTCCCAGAGAAGAGCTGGTAGTTTTCCTGGAGAGATTCTGCATGCCCAGGTCCCGCCAGGTAGGGACCCACCCAAGGGCAGCAATGCCTGCCAGAGAAGAGCTGGCTGGGGTGGGTGGAGCGGCTGCTTGGCAGGGACCAGGCAATCTGCTGGGAGCCAAGTCGGGGGGAGCCCCAGGACCTTTCCTGGGAATGATTTGGGTTTAGAAGAAAAGATGCGAGGTTATCCTGTGGGTTCATCCGGAGCTGTGCCACCCCATCCAAGACCAGAGAGGACAGTTGTCCATGGACCAACGTACCCCAAGCCCAGAGCCATTCCCTCTTGCCAGGGTTCAGTTTCAGCCTGTTGCTCCCTTAGTAGCTTCCAGGCACAGCGAGAGGGCGGTCATGGCGTTGCCTAACTCACCATGGACACAGACATGTTTGTCTTACATGTGAATTCTTGCTATTCCTAAGACTTGCTTAGACTCGAAGTGAAGTTCATGAAGATCAGGCTTTAAACAGGGTAGCTTTTGGCTAGCGATCCTCCTCTTCCCATAATGACCTTCAGAATTTCTTGTCCCGCAGTTAAAATGTCCCCCATTCGGATTCCTGCTTATGAAGGCTTCTCTCGCTTTCTTTTACAGGAGACTCTTGACGGACTCTTTTTCAGCGTTTCTTTGACTAGCATGACTATTTTGCTCTTTTCTCGCATTCAGCACGTTGGCTCCAATATGTTAATTCCTCTGCTTAAAACATTGCAATTTTTCTGCTCTGGCTACTGATTTGGAGCTAAGTGCTTTGAGTCCGTGAGGTCACTGGAGTAACATTGATCTAGTCCAATTAATTTTGTTTCTTCAGCATACTTGTTTGTTTAGCTCAGGAAATTGAAATAACTACTATTAGTCTTGGATTGTACGATTTTAAATCTTCCTGAAGAAACCCGATCCCTCCTTGTTTGAGCCCCCATTCTTGGTCTGTCTGACGGGGGGGCTTCCATTTTCAAGCTTCTGCTCCATCCGAGCAACAGACCCCTTTGCCTCTCCTCTCTTTGAGCTGCTCCTTCAGAGAGACAGAATCATAGAGTTATAGGGCTAGAAGGGGCCTGGGAGGTCTTCTAGGAAGAAGTTGTTCTTTTGGTCTTGTGCTCTTTTCAATTTAAGCAACTCTTTGTATGCTTGTTTGACTCTGCTTGAACTCAAAGCATATTCTCTTTCTATTCTTACTGCTTCATTTATTTTATTAGACTCGTATGCCGCCCCTCTTTCCTTAAGTCGCCATCTCATCTTCCTTCCCTTTTCCCTGCCATCTTCCTTGGGCAGTCCATCCAGTCCGCTGCATCTCCCAAAGGCCTCTGAACTGGGGTTTCTCTCCTTCTCTGAGTAGAGCAAGCATCCCTCTTGGCCCTCCCGTCTGTGGGCTGCAGTTCCCAGGCAGGCTGCAGCAAAGGGGAAGCGGAGCTGCTGGAGTCCCAGGCTGGGCAGGTGGGGGGACGATGGAGGCATCGTTGGAGAGACTGTTTTTGTCCCAAACTCTTGAGTTTTCTCCCCTTGGCAGGAACGGGTATCTTTGGTTGCCTGTCTGCCTGCCCCTTTCCATGAAGCCCATGCAATTTCTTTTGGCATAATAATTCTATTCTACAGTGCCATTGTAACTTTGAACGACCATTAAACCAATGGTTGTAAATTGAGGACTACCTGTCAATCTTCTTGTCCCTCCCTCTTTGATTCCCTTCTGGGTTCAACCCATTTTTCAGTTAGCAAACCCAGAAACCCCCACTGAATATTTGCCCTTTTTAGCAAAAAGTTTATAAAAGGTCTTTTATAATGATGCTTATTTTATCCCTGATCGCCCAGGTCAGTTTTGCTCTGTCTGAAAGTTCTGTCATCTTCACCAGTCATTCCCCCATGGTTGCTGTTCCAGGTTTTGCGCCCATAGCAACCTTGCGCCATTTCCGGTGGGGTGGAGAGGGAAAGGGCTGGACCAGGAGTGGGGAGAGCCACGTTCCCCCTCATGCTCAGCCCTAAAATGGGGCGTGGAAAAACTGCTGCCCAGCAAGCAGCAGAGTTTGGGCTCCAGGGACGCAGCCTCCACCCTGAGGGGGCTGACCCAGGGTGATAGCGGCCATTTGAAGGACGGCTGCTTTGGTCGATTGCTTGGGATGAAGGCAAGAGAAGCGAGGAGGTGGGACTGTTTTGCCTGTCATTTCAGAGCCGCCCTTTTGTCTCCTACTGGCGAAAGAGAGAGACGCCCTCACCCCGCCCCTGGTGGGCCAGCACAAGAAAGGCCCCAGGCACAGCACCCCCATCGGTGAGTGGAGGGCGGATCCTGCGGGGGCAGGGAGAGGGCTTGTCAGGGGCCTCTGGGGGAGACCAACTCGAGAGTCAGAGGGGGGCTGAAGCTCTGCGTGGCATTGTTGCCTTAACGATGAAGCAGTTTTGCCAGCTGTACCTTTGGGGCTGGTTGGCCCATTGCCTGAAGGGCAGCGGTGGTGCTGGAAGAAGGCGCCAAGGCTGGCACACATCTCCACGGACCTTGCAGAAAAGAAGCTTTAGAGGCCCCGGGAGCCCTTTTGAAGCTGCCCTTTTCCTCGGCTTCTTTCAGTGGTGGGAAGCGATCCAGAGCACCCTGCGATTGGCCCAGAGGGCAGAGACGGCGTCTTGGAGGGGGCTGGCTCGGCTGGCATTGCAGCCATGGAGGAGAGCCCCCAAGGGAGTTCTGTGGTGGCCTGTGAAGAGGAAGAGGACGGGGGGCTCTCCCTGCGTAGGAGCCTGGTGACCCCCGTGATGGAAGAGAGTGACGAGCCTCTGCCTTTCAGCCTGGAGAGTAAGAGAGGCCACCCAGGAATGGTGACCGGGGGGGGGGGGGCGCTGGCCCGGGAGGTTTTGGCTTTTTGTGTGTGTGTGTGTGTGTGCTGGTTGCCTCCAGTGATTGGGATGCCCCCCACCCGGTGACTGGGAGACCCAGGTGAGAAAAGGGGTCATTGAGGTGGCCGCCTTGAATGCAGCTTGTTTGGAGAAAGGATGGCTCCTATTTGAAGGTCGCTGTATTCTGCTCTTTCTCCTTGCTCCCCGTAGAGCCTGAAGGCAGGGAAAGGACGAACGGGCTGGCCACCGCAACCAGTCCCAGGTAAGACCTCTGGCAGGAGAGAGTTTGGCCCCCACCCCAAGCTCCTTTGCTTTGTCGGGGAATCCGTGCCGGATGGCGGGGAGAAGGGAAGCTCCAGGGGCCTTGGCCCTTGACGCCTCTCTCCCCTCTGTCTGCAGTTCTCAGAAGACGCCGTCGGTGTTCGCTCGAGTCTGTGGCCCCCTCCCTGAAGAAAAGGCTCCGGGCCCAGGACAGCCGTCCCCCCTGTTCAGGCAAGGCTCCAGCCGGGGCCTCCTGGCCGCTTCTTCTGCAGGGACGGAGAACTCCCCTTTTTTGAGCAGCCTCCGTCTTTCTGGGTCTCTTTGCTGGGTCCTTTGTTGAGAAGGTTGGGGACTTTTTGCTGCGTTTCTTCAGCCTTGAGAGTTGCCGTCTTTGATTCCCTGCAACGGTTCCATCTGGCCAGAGACTAATGTCCAGCCTCACTTTTTATGCTGCTCCTGTGGGATTCCAGGGGCTCCAGCTTTAGGGAGAAGGTAGCCATGGCAAGTAGGCCGCGGCACCTAAGTTGAGTAACGTTGAAGGGAAGAGTCGGGAATGGTCAGTTGCTGGTGAGCCCTGGCGCCTCCTGAGAGGATTCCCTCTGGGATAGACACAATGGGGGAGCAGCTGGCTCACAGCCAAGCGCCAACCACCCACAGTCGCTTGCTTGTGAAATGGGCGGCATATCAATTGAATAAATAAACGGTCATGCTGGAAGGGAAACCGCATCGCCTAGAGGCAGCATCCGACGCAAGGGAAGCTCAAGGGTTGGATCGTTGCCTGTTGGCTCATCAGATTAGACAGGATATTGGATCCGATCCAACAGAGTTGCTTTTTTGTCATTATCCTGTATTTTAGGGGTGACTTGTTCAATTTTCCAAGTTCCCAAGAAGAAGAGGAGCCACCACGGACCTGGAAGGATCAGCAGAAGTGTGTCTCCTTGGGTTGCAGACAAGTCCCATCTTCTGAGCTGGGGGCTAAAGAGCAAGCAGAAGGCTGTGCTGAAGTGGGAGGAGAGGCCATGGAGGTGGAGGTTGCCCTGCTGCAGCAAGGGGAGAAGGGGCTTGGGGGCACCCCAGAAGACAAGCCCGTCCCAGAGTCCGGATCCAGCCATGGCAAGAGCCCCCAGGTTCCAGGGGAGCGCCAGGGAGGCCCCATCTCAGCTGCCACGCAGACGGCCTCTGCCGCTCAGGTGGAAGTGGGCACCAGCACCGCCTGCCCTCTGCTCCTCCAGCGCAGCGCCAGCGTGCAAACAGAGCGGGACTTTATGTGGCGGCCCGGAAGCCCCCCAGAGGCCTCGGCCAGTCAGGTGAGGAAGGACGGGACCATTTGGAGTTCAGGCAGCTCCAGTGCAGCTACCTGACAGCAGCAGGGAAATTTACAAAGGAGAAATCATTTCTTTTTGCCTATTCAGACCCATCAGGTAATCCCAGTGTTGAATATTTCAGGAGACTATCATTGAAGTACTTCAGTTAGAAAACCCTGAGCAGGTTTCTCTTTTTAGGAGCTGATGGCAAACAATGCATCCCTTGAGCAGCCAGGCAAAAGCTTTGGGTGTTTGGGGGGGGTTTGAAATGCCACGGGTGGGGGGTGGGGGGAGAAGGGAGTCATGCAGAAAGTAAGTGCCAGAATGTGGGGGCACAGTAGGAAAAAACTGCCCTCAGTCCACTTCTCCCTAGCCCCCTCCTGGAGGTAAGTAGTTTAGGAGGGGCTTTACCCTGCCACGGGAGTCCTGCCAGCACTTTCTGGATTGGCTGCAGCTCCCAGGGGGTCTCCAAAGTCTGTCCCAGGTCATGCTGGGCTGCCAAAGCACCTCCCTGGGGGGCAGATTGCATGGCATTAGGGCGAAGGCGAGTTCTGAGGGAGAGCTGGGACTGATCTTGCCAGCACAGCCTGGAGTTCCAGACCTCGACGTGTTCAATAACACCGGGGTCACCAACCCCTGAACCAGGATAGCCACGAGCCCTGCCTTGCCCTGACTACTGAAAGGAATGGCCTGGCCTGGTGGGCCTGGGGTCCTAAAGTCGGTCCCTGTAGCCTCAGGCCCTCCAGGCGCTGGCAGCCGCCCCTGCCGATCACGCTGGGAGCAGCCAGGAGGCCCGAAAAGCTGCCTGCGGTCCATGGGGGGCCGGAAGGTGGTCAGAGGGTGGCTGGGCGGCTCCTCTGCTTCTCCTGGGTGGGAGGTTGCCGAAAGGGAGAGCGGACGGGTCTTGTGGTCCTCTTCAGCTTCCTGGTTCTTGAGTTGGCGGAGCAGTGAGGCTGGGCTCCCTTCCGCCGAGTGTCTTGGAGAGGAGCGGCTCCACTGCGGGATTCCTGCTCAGCTCCCTCTCTCGGGGCCACTCCTCTCAGTGTGGCTGCTATGGCCACAATGTGGACTTTTTATGTGGTTCAACTCTCTTCTGTTGCTGTGGTTTCTATGATTTGTGGTAGAGATTGAGGAGGCCACAACCCTCGGCAGGTGTGGCCCTGGGGCTCTCACCTCTGTTCTATTCTCCATGGCAAATTGGCCACGTGGGGTGAGATTAAGTGTAGTCCCCGCCTAACCTGCCTTGGGCTGCCTTGGGTTGCTTGTCCCTCTGCCCATCACAGCAGCCCCTGCTCTCTCCCCCCCCCCCCCGCCCATCTACCTGGGGCCCTGCAGATGAATTCTGGATGGGAACCAGGGGGCGGGGGAGGGTAGGCCACCACAGCTGAGCCAGTCAGTGAGAAATAGGGGATGCCATAGAGAAGTTGCTGGTTGGCAGATGGAGCGTTTGGTGTTTGAATGACACAAGTGGTGGTGTCAGCTACACAAGTGTGCAACAGCATTTTTACTTACTGATTCCTTAGAGCCTCTAAAGCATTGGCTATTTTATCTGGAAATGGAAGCGGTGTCAAGTTTGGGAAAAGCCTTCCCGGGTCCTTTCAGCATCCAAAGCTCCTTGGGGTCATCTTGACCTTTCCCAAAGGAGGCTGGTCTTGGCCATTTTCTGGTGACCTTCAGTGGACAAATAGGATTTTTCACTGGACTGGCCTTTGGCTAATGTGTTGTTATGGCAATGGTAAATACATCACATTTTTTTCAACAGGTTTTTATTGTTGTGTTTTCTGCCTTTGGGGTTGCTTGTATTCTACTTATGGATGAACTGAGGTAGGTTGTAGTTTAAATGTATTTGAATGAAAGTGATAATTTTTAAGCATCTGTGCTACACAAAACAAAAAAGAGAAAATAGAGCATTTGAATAGGAATCATACAGAATTAAACTTGTCAATAGCACAGATAATCTTATATTCTCAATATTAGGTATAAATGCTTTCTAACATCTCTTCTGTGTAAAAGGCTTAGATTCTATCAGTTTCATCAATAAAGAATATTTGCAGCTCAGGCTTGAAATGAGGGTTCCTTTGTGCTTCTCTCAGCCAGGTTGTTTTCCTGCAGATGTTTCATGACCTAAACTAGGTAACATCATCAGTGCTAGCAGGGAGTGGGGTTTGCTGTCAGTTGATGTTCTAGTGCAGGGGTGTCAAACTGGCGGCCCATGGGCCAGAATGTTGTGCGCAGGCCACGCCCACCCCAGCTCCATGAAGGGCAAAAAACATGGTGATACATCACGTGATGGCAACGTGAGGCCACGAGTTTGACACCCGTGTTCTAGTGGCTTGCCAGGGTTAGTGGGAGAGATAGTGGAGATTCTTTGGTTGGGCTGTTTACTGTTGGCTTGTTTGGCAGCCCCTTGGTTGCAGTATTGTTTACTTCTGGATTGTTGGTCTGATGTTGACCTTGGTGTTAATCTCTGCTCATCTGGGTGCTGATTGGTGGCAGGGAGAGTTTTGGTCGTTTTGTTCACTTCTTGCACAGTATGTAGCTGTTGTTTATGTGTCTGTTGGTGGCCAATTTGTCACAATGTCAGGCTTCCAGGAAATCTCTAGGGTTTTCAGACTTGGTTTGGTCTAGGATGGGCACGGTTTCCCCATTGAAACTAGGGTTAATTCTGTCCGTGGGTTGAGAAATGAAAGGTTTTTCATCGTGTCTACTGACTGCTACTGGATGCCTTCTGCCAGTCCTCTGCCTGTTTGGCCTACATATTGGCTGTTGCAGTCTTTATTTCCACTGTACGTTGGAGATGATTCTGGGGCTGCTGGGTTTTTTTATAACTTAGGATGTTTTGAAGAGCTTTAATTGGTTTGCGTGCTATCCTGATACTATGTGGTTGCAGTAGTCTGTTGGTAGTTTCTGAGATGTTTTGGAATCTTTTAATATTCCATATTCTTTTGAAAATGTTGGTGATGGTTTTGTGGGTGTTCTCTAATTGGTCCTGTTTTATTGTGGTGAAGTTGTCATCTGCATACCTGATTCATATTTGGGGTTGTATTTGTGGGAGTGCTATTGACTCCAGATGTTGCATTACAACTTTCGCTATGAGTCCTGGAAGTGGTAATTCCATGATTTGATTTGTTGACAAGTTTGTCCATTGAATTGAAAGTATGTGGTTAGGCTGAGGTTGATAAGATCCATGATTTTGAGTGTTTCAGTCTTGGTGTATTTGGTTAGGTCAGGTGTCCGTGGAGCAAAGTAGTCCTGGATTCTTTACTTAATTCTGGCTCTGTGGATGTGAAAAGGTCTGTGACAGCAAATGAGACCCTCATTTCATCCTCATCTATTGTTGTGTCTTTGATTCTTTGAAGGCCTGTTGTGGGGAGTTGATGGCGTATTTGCTTCCCCCTGTGAGGTGCCGAGGCTTTTTGGTTAATTCTTTTGTGATTCTGCAGGTTGGGGTTCCTGGTAATGATACAACTGGAAGGAGAGGTTCTGTATTTTGGGGCATCTCTAGAAACATGAAAGATGGGTCCACTGCTTCTCATCCGTCCCTATTCCTCTTTGGTAATTTGATCTTTCTTGGTGAGGTCACTGAGAATTTTCTTGAGCCAGTTCCCCAAAGTAATCGCCAAACCTTCTGCAAGAGAAGCTGCATAAGAACTCTATATAGACATGCACCAACATTGCAGCAACCCTGAACAGCAGCAAAAGGAAACAGATCATCTACACACCTTCCAACAAAATGGATATCCACACAACTCCAGCAAAAAGTGCCCGACCACTTAACACACCATAACCATAACCACAACCAAAACAAACCGCAAAAGGGATAATAACACTGCCATATATCAAAAACAGCTCAGAAACTACGAAAAGACAATGACAACCACAGGGCATCAGCGTAGCACACAAACCAACTACAAGTTCTCAACTTACCATAGTTCGTTTAGTGACCATTTGAAATTACGACAGCATCGAAAAAAGTGACTTATGACGGTTTCTCACATTTTTGACCACCCCCATGGTCACGTGATCAAAATTGAGCTGCTTGGCAGCTGACTCATATTTATGACGATTGTAGTGTTCTGGGATCTTCTGACAAGCAAAGTTAGTGGGGAAGCCAGATTCGTTTAACAGCCGTGTTACTAACTTAACAACTGCAGTGATTCACTTAAGTAACTGCGGTAAGAAAGGCTGTAAAATGGGACACATTCACTTAACTCTCTCGCTTAGTGACAGAAATGTAGGGCACAGTTGTGGTTGTAAGTTTATATATAGCTGTAAAGCTCTCCAAAGCATCCTAAGTTATAAAAAAAAACCCAGCAGCCCCAGAATCATCTCCAACGTACAGTGGAAATAAAGACTGCAACAGCCAATATGTAGGCCAAACAGGCAGAGGACTGGCAGAAGGCATCCAGTAGCAGTCAGTAGACACGATGAAAAACCTTTCATTTCTTAACCCACGGACAGAATTAACCCTAGTTTCAATGGGGAAACCGTGCCCATCCTAGACCAAACCAAGTCTGAAAACCCTAGAGATTTCCTGGAAGCCTGACATTGTGACAAATTGGCCACCAACAGACACATAAACAACAGCTACATACTGTGCAAGAAGTGAACAAAACGACCAAAACTCTCCCTGCCACCAATCAGCACCCAGATGAGCAGAGATTAACACCAAGGTCAACATCAGACCAACAATCCAGAAGTAAACAATACTGCAACCAAGGGGCTGCCAAACAAGCCAACAGTAAACAGCCCAACCAAGAACTTGTAAGACCAACCCCATAAACACTGACAGGGGAAGCCACTGGACTAGAACATCAGCCGAGAGCAAACCCCATTCCCTGCTAGCACACATGAAATGTCTGCAAGAAAACAACCCGGCCCAGAGAAGACCAAGGAACTCTATCCTTTGGTACCCCCCCCCCCCCACCAATAAGCTGGTGCCATAGATCTAGCATGAAATAGCGGTTATGATTCTGGCTTACTACCATGTTTCTCCAACAATACGGCCTCCACCAGTAGGAAGGCCCAGCATGTTTTTTGCGCATAAAATCAAATTAAGCCCCTCCCCCAAATTTAGGCCTATCTTGAAATATGCAAAATAAGGGGGAAGGGCAGGAGACTTGCCGTTAGGAGCGCCCGGCAGGCAGGAATTCCTCGCCACCAGCCGCTCCTAATGGATGATCATGGCGAAGCGCGGAGAGCTCCCTACTCCCACCAAACACCTTTGCTGCAGACACCTTTGGCACCCGCCGCTGTTGCTTTCCCTTCTGCCCATTCCGCTGCCACGTTTGGAGCTGCCGCTTCCGTGTTTGGAGTGCTGCCGCCATTTGGAGCTCCAAACGCGGAAGTGGCAGCTCCAAACATGACGGCGGGCGATCTTTTTATTTTGGTCCGCGCGAAGTTCAGAGCGAGCAAGAGAGGGAGACTGCGATGCCTCCATCCGAGATGGCAACCTCACTAGTGGATCACAATGTGGCTGGAATCCCGAATCGGCGGGATACGATGGCAATCTTTTTGGAGCGAGAGGAAAGGGAGAGAAGAGTTGCGAGGTGTAATTTGCAGGAGGAAGTGGGTGTACCCCACGGCAGGGAGCCCAAGGAAGAAGGGCCGGTAGGCAACGGAGAGCGTCCCGTATCTCTGGAAGCAGCCTAGAGACGCACCCGGGAAGAGGCGCAGATGCTGCCTTGTAGTCCCCAAACCAACAGCGTGCCCCGCCTTTAGTTATGTGCGCTCCGCTCTCTGGGCATCTCCGTGTGATCGTGACCCTGTCCTTTCCACCTGGCGCCCTTGCTGCTTTCTGGCTCTTTAGCGACCGGCTTCGCGTTTGGAACACGTTCGCGTTTGGAGTTGCAGCGGAATGTGGCAGCGGAATGGGCAGAAGGGAAAGCAACAGCGGCGGGTGCCAAAGGTGTCTGCAGCAAAGGTGGCAGTAGGGAGCTCTCTGCGCTTCGCCATGATCACCCGTTAGGAGTGGCTGTTGGCGAGGATGCAAGGGGGGGAATTAAGTCACCCCCCGAAAAGACGGCCTAGCCGTTTTTTCGGGGCTCAAAAAAAAATAAGGCCTGGCCTTATTATGTGAGAAACACGGTAGGAGGAGAATCAACTGGTATCCTATTTATGAACCATGTGATACTTCCTAGCTACTTCCAGAGGCAATTCAATTGAGAAGCACCCCATGCCCTGTTGTCTAAAAATAGTTCTTCAGATGGAAAAAAAAAGAAGGGGGGGGGGGGAGTCCCAATTGCAATATCTATGTAATTCTCATGAAGCAGCCTGAAGGTGGTTTGCCAACTTTTTCATGTGTTTGACTTGTCAGGCTAGTTTGTAGCCTTTCGATTTCCTGCTAAGCTCCCATCTAAGTACCAGCCAGCTCTGATCCTGCTTTAGCTTTCTTTCACAATTGGCCAGACTTGATACCTGCGGTTGTTGAGACTACGTTTAGCTAAATCTAGTGAGCATTTAGGGGTAGGTTAGAACTGGAAGCAAGAACGACCAGCTTACATGCAGTAGTCAATTAGTAAATGTTTCAGTCCAAACCCAACGTACTTGGTTTTGATGAAAGGATGTCTGGAAATATTTTGGATTTTCTTTTTTTCTTTAGAAGGAGGAAGAATTTGAACTGCCCCACCCACCAGCAGGTAGAGTCCTACAGCGCCATGTGAGAACAATTCGGGAAGTGCGCACCCTCATAACACGTGTCATCACAGATGTTTACTACAAAGATGGCAGCGAAGTGGAACGACAGGTGGTTGAGGTAGGGTGTTTCCAATGAGGCCCCAGTAACGCTGAGGACCCCATGGTTTTCGGCACAATCTCTTCAAGGGTGTCAGATGTCCGTCTTTTAGACAAAGGCAAAGGCCGCGGCAGCCATCTCCGGAACTAAAGGAGGCTCTTCCATACTCTGCTCTCTTCCAAAGAGGGACAGCCATCTTTGCTTGCAAAGTGAATCAAGTCACATCCAGAAGGATCCAGATTCTGGGGGGCCCTGAGGGGGGACAGGAGTGAAAGGGAGGGGTCAGAGGTAGGGGAGGTCAGGTTGGACCCCCTCCCCCATTTGCCTGAGAGCCAAAGCGATGGTTGAAGATCCCTCCCAGCTGAAGGACTTTATTGGTGGAAGGAAGTTTTTCTGCCTGGGCCCGATTTAATCTCTTGGCAGGCTGAGGATATTCCAGTCCTCCAGAGCACATAGAAATGTAGCAACAATGCTCTCTGGTATATTTGGGCCCTCCCAGCCAAGCCTGTGTCTTTGAGGGTGTCCCCCAGATCCAGGACATGGTGAGAAGCCAGGCCCGTAGGTTCCGCGGAAGGTCCTGAGCCCGTCCGTTGGAAAGGCTGAGGCTGCCCGCCCCGAGGGCCTCATCCATCCAAGGGAGCCACGTTCAGACCCAGAAAGAGGAGAAAGGGATGGGGGGGGGGGGTGCTGAGGGAAGAAAGGAACCTCCGAGGAAGCCAATCCCAGCCCAGCCCAGATCTACCCTTTAAGGTAGGAATGGATGCCAAATGTCTTCTTTCTCCGGGAAGGAAAATCTGTTTTGCACGCTTTTCATTTTTATCCGTGGGATGAGAATGAAACGGAAGGCTGCTTTTGCTGGAAAACTCTCTATCCTTTCAGAAGAGATTGAAGGGCCGTTTGTCTGGAACGGTACAGGGTGTCCTGCTTGATCAGAGAGTTGCACTAGAAGACCTTCCAACTCTGTTATATGCTGTTATTTCAGGTATATGGAATGACAGCAGAGCGTGAGCAGAGTTGTACCTTCGAAATGCCATCAAACAGTGCAGGGATTCTGGGAAGGGTGGATGTTGGTGTGGGAAGGGCTGGGATGAGGAGGATGGCATCTGGAGCCTGGTCTGTTTCAGGAGCGAGAAGAGCCCCACGTGGATTGCTACGAGTGCGAGGTGGACGTCTCTCCTTCCCGGACGGGGGACTTTTCTCCGACCTCCGGAGACCTTGGAGACCTCAGCTCCTTCTCCTCCAAGGCGTCGGGACCTCATCAGACGTCCAGTGGAGGAAGCAGTGCTCCGTCCGCCACTCGCAGCCGCCTAAACTCTGCAGGCCCACGAAGAGGCTTTCAAGACTCGGCCTTGTCCACGGCCAGGAAGCCAAGGTGGGTGGAGGCTTTGGAGATTGCCTGCCAGTTTGCACAGAGGTCTGTTGTGAAGTTCTTGGGCGTGAGAAAGTCAGTTGATGTCTTGCAAGAGAAGCTCGTGCCAGAGTTCAGAAAACTGAGCTCTGAAACCTTAAGTGTAGTTTAACTCATTGAGCACAGAGGCAGATAAACAGACGTCAAGAGTCCAGATGTCTGGCAAAACTTTGTGAAGGCCACCATGTTATTGAAAGTTCCCTCCGAACTCCGTCATGAAGAGTAATATTAGATGGTCCTTTACTTATTTAGTTTCTTTAGCCACCCATCTCGACCATCTTTTGTAGTCCATCTTTGGCCTTGGTTAGCAACACACTTTTCTGGAGACCTCTGAACGTTTAGCCACTTCCAGGGTTTTCCAAAGGGAAAAGGAGCTTTCACACCCACGATCCATGTGTCACGAACCTGAGCGGCTTCCTATGGGGAAGCTAAGCTGCCTCTTATCTTCCCAGCCCAAAGAAAGGGACCGGCTTCTGCCCAGCCCATCGTGACCACGGCAAGGCCGCCGTGGGGGACGAGGCGGGAGACCCTGGCCCCAGCAACCAGCAGTGCAGGGGCGCACCTCTCACCCCCCGTGGGCGAGGGCGAAGGGGCCGCCCCGCTTCCCGATCCACCGGAGCAAGGTAAAGCGGGAGCGATGGGAGCGGAGGTTTCTTGGCCGGTCTTTGCCCCCCCCCCCCCCGCCACCCCTCTTGCTGTTTTTGCAGGGGCTCCATGCAGGCCGAGGCAGATCTTTCAGCCGGCGCCTCTTTGGATGGGCAGCCCAGCCTGGGTCCACATCTGGAGGGACGGGAGCAAGCAGAGACCCCTCGGTGCCGCAGCGGCTCCCCTGAAATCCCTCTGCAGGAGCAGTCAAGCGCCTCTGACGATCCCAGGCCCCCTCCCCCTGGGAGTTGCCTGGTGGGCCTCCGGGTGGTAGCCAAGTGGTCATCCAATGGCTACTTCTACTCTGGGACCATCACGCAGGATGTGGGCGGGGCCAAATACAGGCTGCTCTTTGACGATGGCTATGAGTGCGACGTTCTGGCCCGAGACGTCCTCCTGTGCGACCCCCTCCCTCTGGAAACGGAGGTGACGGCGCTCTCCGAGGATGAATACTTCAGTGCAGGTAACCACCTGTTGGTTCGGAAGACACCCGTCACTCGGGGTGGCGGGACAAGGGGAGGGAGCAGGATGGGGCCTCGGCCTGTAGCTCTGCCTTTGCTGCAGGTGTGGTCAAGGGCCATCGGAAGGAGGCGGGGGAGCTGTTCTATTGCGTCGAGAAGGACGGACAGCAGAAGTGGTACCGGCGGACGGCGGTTATCCTGTCCTTGGAGCAAGGGAACAGGCTCCGGGAGCAGTTTGGACTCGGCCCGTGTCAGCCGGCCACTCCTCTGACCAGGGCAGCCGATATCAGCCTAGGTGTGGCCCTGAGACGGGAGTCCCAGATGGGTGGCCGGAGTGGGAGGGGCTGGGCTGGAGAGCTCAATGCAGAGGCCGCCCTTTGTGCCCCTGGGGGAGGGCTGCAGGGAGGCTGGGGCAGCCCTGTGCTGGGGGGGGGGGGGGCTTACCAAAGGTGAAGCTGACTGTGCTTTACCTGGTGGACCCAGATAACCTGGTGGAGGGAAAGCGGAAAAGACGCAGCCTTGCTCCACCCAGCCCCTCCAGTGGCAGCACCACGCCTGTCCGCAAGAGCCCGGAGCCCCTTTCCGGCAAAAGGAAACTGGCCGCTGTCTCCGAAGAGGAGCAGTCCCCAGCCAAGCGGGGGCGGCACCTGGCCCTGTCGAAAACAGGTGAGGCTCGCCCAGGCGACCCTGGTCTCGGCTGCCGTCTCCTGAGCCTGGGGGGCTGCAATTTGGCCGTGCTCCTCCGGTGACTTCCTCCCATGCTGGGATGTCCTGGCTGGCCTCCCTCTCTCCACACTGGCTCTTGGGTTTTCTGGGAAGAGCTGGCAAAGGGCAGGAGTTGACCTTCCTCTCTGTCTGCAGGAGCTGCACATGCCAGGGAGATGGCAAGCCCGTCAGGTGATCACTTGGCACCTGATCACCGATGGGGCCCTTTGCCCCAGAACAAAACCCTTTTTTTGGGCTACGCCTTTCTTCTCTCCATGGCAAATGCAACAGAGAAGCTTTCTAGTCATCCAAAGACTGCAGTGAGCAGCGAAGAAGAAGAAGAAGAAGAAGAAGGTGAGGCCACCTGGCTTGCTTGCATCAATGTGGGTTGGTCCTTCTGGAACACTCAACATTCTCTAGTTAATTGTAGATCTTTGATGGTGATGTATTGCATTAAAAGGGATGTCAATATATCAAACATTATTAACTCCTGGGCAGAATTAAGGTGGTGCTGATGGCTGCATGTACATGTTGCACTAAATTGAAACCAAACCACTGTCCTCCAGCTCTCTCTCCCCTTGACTGACTTTCTTCTATCTGGAAGTCTTGGCGTCCCTTTGCAAGGGCTTTCTGGGTTGGATCCAAAAATTCCTCATTTTCCCTGGTCAGTCGGACAAGTTCACACCTGGCCCTTCACCTCTTCCAAGGAAAATCCACCCTTCCTTGCAACATGGGCAGTTCTTGTCACCTTCAAGGAGAACACCTGGTGTGGAAGTGGGAATGGCCTTTAGGGACAGGGGGAAGAGGTGCTGCTGCCAAGACAGCTGGTTCAGCGGGAGTCCTGACTGTAACGTCTCAGTGGGGGCCAGGAGGGCATAGAGACAAGATTCTGCTAATAGAACATTACAATGAAAGTAGTATTGGTCTATAGGACTTAAGGTTTCTAGCCTAGCCAACCTTTAAGTGCTGATATCAAAACCAATTCTGATTTGGGGAGAGAGGGAAACTTCTGCCTTTTTGTTCACTTTCTTTCAAGATGATTACATTTGAGTGAAATTTTCTTTAGTGGAGCCACGTGTGGCCAAGAGCATCTCAAAGGCAGGGAGGGAAGGTCCCGGCCACAGGATGGCTCCCAAGATGGGAGGGGGAGGAGCTGGAACAAGAAGGAAAAACTGGAGCTTCAACATCTCTGGATTAAATCTCCAGGAGGGGGGGAGGAGGGAGGCTTCGGGGTGACAGAAATATATTAAGAAATCAATGATGTATTAAGAAATCAATGAAAGTTCAAAATACTAGAAGCATTAAAGAAAAACTTGCTGAGAACAGGATAGTAAAATGGCCTCCTGTAGCCCTCTACCAGCGAAAATGGAGCTCAGGGGAGGGGCACACACAGCCCCCCCCCAGCTCCATTTTTGCTGGCTGAGGGCTGCAGGGGGCCGTTGCGGCTGATACGGGAGCCTGGGGGGCCGTACACAGCCCTCCCGAGCTCTGTTTTCGCTGGCAGAGGGCTAGCAAAACAAACTAAAAACAAAAGGAGAAATGTTTCCCCTTTTGCATTTGAGCATGCAAGAAGGGACAGGAAAGGAGGAAGGGAAAGAGAAAAGACAAAGAAAAACAAGGAAAGATTGGAAGAGAAGAGAGGAAGGAAGGAAGAATGAAGAGGGAAGGAAAAATGGAAGGAAGATTATAATGAGAGTGAGGGAGGGTCTGAGGGAAGTCCTCCCTTAGCATTTGGACACAACAGGTGCCCCTGACATCAAGAAAGACCTTCTAGCAACCACTGCAATCCAGTATGGGGCCCAGAGGCGTGTGTGTGTGTGTGTGTCTGCCTACGGGAAGAAAATTGTTCCCATGAACTTGATATTAATCTGCTTGGAGGCTTTCTCGCAGGCGTGATGCGAATATGCAATGCTGGTTTGAAGGAAAAGTAAGAACTGTCCAATATACTTCCCTATTCCAGAATTAGTGGAGAGAGTACCTTACAACAAACCCTACACTGAGCTACAACTCCAAGCAGGAGGCGGTTTCATCCTAGAAGACTTCAATGAAAGCCAGGTCAGAGTCCCGGGCGGGGGGATGCTTATAATAAGGCAGGGAGACGAGCTGTGAGCAAAAACCCGTTGATGCAAGGGTACATCAAGAAGGCAAAGTGTCCCCCTCCCTCCACAAGGTTCTGGGATGCCCGAAGAAGGGATTTGTTTTACATTGTTTTCAGACCGCATGAGTGAGCCAGATCTGCTTTTGGCTTCAGTAAATGACTGTATGCTTTTGGCGGCCACCAGCTTTTGTGGTGGCTCCTGTGACTTGGCCGTTTTTGGCTACAAAAAGCCCCCAGTACTTTGGTGATCACATGTTATAATCGTGACTTTGTGACTGGGGGTGGGTGGATTTTCTATGTCTGCCCGGGTATCTCGGTGGGAAAGTGAAGGGGTTCTCCCAGGCCTTTGGAGTGTCGGGTGGCACGAGGGCTCCGTGCTTGAGGCGCTGGGCTTGTTGGCTAGAAAGCTGGCAGCCCAGGTTTGAGACCCAAGCATCACGCCATAGGGTGAGCTCCCATCCTCGCTCCCGATCCTGCCCACCTCGTGGTTCAAAAGTCTGCAAATGCGAGTAAATAAATAAGCACCGCTTGACATGCTGGCCACATGACTGCGGAAATGTCTTCCGACCGTGGTTGGCTCAATGGCCTCAAAACGGAGATGAGCACCACCTCCAGGAGTCGGCAGCAACGCGCAGAGTAAAATCGGCAGAGGCCGTTTTAGGATGCTGGGCAACTCCTGCTCTGATTTCCAGGCCGTGTCCCCCTTGTCCGTGTTTAGCAAGGACGGCCCTGAGTATAATCAGCATTGTGGCTGGAGGGCCCTGGGGGAGGCCCCTGAGCCTTCAAGGGCAGCTGGCTCTTGACCCTTGAAGAGCAAAAGCAGACCTCTGAGGTTGTTCAGGACGCCAGCAGCCCCCCCTCCCCCCCAAAACAACAACAACAACAACACAACCTTCAGTGAACTTCCTCTTAGCCGTGTTGTGTCCTGCCCTCCAGTCTTAGGTTCAGCTGCATTTTGTGCTTGTCCCAAATCTCTGTTGTTGCCGTTTGCAGCTGCCCTTTCTTTCCCGCTTTTGGTGAGGTGGAGTTGGCCATTCAAAGATGATCTCCCCCTGCTTCTTTCTGGCACCTGCGCTCCTGCTGCTGCTGGATTTTTTGGTATCGAAACCTCTTTTGTGGCGTCTGTGTGCAAAGTTTAGTTTCACCCTCTATGTGAGAAAGAGCTGGATAAATAAGGCAGAGAGATTCTGAGGAACAATCAGATATGGGCAGAAAAAGAAAAAAGGCCCACTCCGGTTGTTCTTTCAGACTTGCAAGAGCCTGTTAGCAGAGCCTCCCCATAGCAGCTCATCCGGTCAGATTCCGGTCTGGTCAGCCTTGATCCACAGATGAGCAAGATCAGCAGCAGCAGCGACCTTAACTGACCCTAGTAGCCTCTCCTCACCCGTTGATCAAGTTGTTTTCACACCATCTTAGCCATAAAACCAAAAGGCAAGCAGCAGAATATTGCGACGTCCTGCTGGGAAATAATCTTAGCAGGAAACAGGCATGTTGCTCTGTATGTTGTCTCCTGGATTGCAGGCCTGGCAAAATATCCAGGGAAATATGCTGAAGAAAAAATAATAATCCAAGGACAGAAGCTGTTTATTCAGTGATGAAAGGGAAGCCGGCCAGGACCCAGGCTGGGCTGAGCTATTTTGGGGACTTGTACCCATCTTTCAGAGCATAAAGCTGACAAAAGGGACTTGCAAAGCCTAACAGTTATAAGTAAAGATACAAGAAGTTGTTTCATTAAATAAAGGTTCCTTAAATAAAACCAACTTCAACCAAATAAAAGGCCCAGGGCCACTGTGGTCCAAGTTATAAATGAATCATCTCAGATTTAAGTGAAAAGCCCAGTTAAGGAAGATCTCAGGTAATGAATGCAGCCCTCTTCTCTGCCTCTATTCAGCTGGGAGTGAATTGTCACCTTCATGGAGCACTCCAGCATCTATCAAACATTGCCAGATTAAGGACTTGGCTGATGCTTCCTGGCAGGTCTTGTGCTGCAGGATTCTCTTCCCAAGCATTGTTGGGATGCAGCCTTCCTGGCTTCTGAAACCACGAATGGCCAGACCAGCATCTGCCTTACTGGCTTCAGGAAGAAACAGAGAAAGAGAGACGGGACAGTGCTGGCCATCAGCAAGCCTTTGATTGACAACAGTAATTGGGGCCAGAATTTCCATTGCTAAGCGATCTGGCTGTAAAGGGAGACGGGCCGTGACTTAGTCGTCATAGCAGCTCCAGCGCTTCCAGTTGCCCTCCTTGAGCAACTCCAGTGCTGCCAAGGGTGATGCCAGGCAACCCCCCTTTGGGGCTCCCCGTTGCCTTTGCTAGCTGAAAGCCAGCAGGGATGTCATTGGGAGGGGTCATCACAGCAGGCATTGTTGAGGGCTAGTCTTGAGCGCCCCTCATTCAGTGCTAGCGAAGGGTCTGCTGTAAAAACTGGGTCTTGGTGGCTTTCCTGAAGGACAAAGTTGGGACTATGCTGTGCACGTTGCCCGTGAGCGGGAGCCAACGCAGGGCAGTCTGCACAAAGCCATGAATGCTCCTCCTCTGTCTGGCAAACCTTGCTTTGCTGTGGGACCAAGAGCGTCTGTTCTCCTTAAGTGTGGCTTGCGATTAAGGCAGGCCCAGATTTGTTCTTGGCCTCCCTCTGGCCTGCTGGCCTCACCTTTGTTTTTCCCAACCTCTGAGGCGACCTCCGTTTGTGGCTGGATTGGCACCAATGTGACACTCCCCCCCCCCCCTCGATCCAGTGCAGCGCAGCCTACGAGTGCCTCCTGATAGCAGACCAGCACTGCCGCACCCGGAAGTACTTCCTGTGCCTTGCCCGGGGAATCCCCTGTGTCTCCCACATGTGGGTCCATGACAGCTGCCTGGCCAATCAGACTCAGAACTACAAGAACTACTTGTTGCCAGCTGGCTACAGCCTGGAGGAAGAGCGGTTGCTGGAGTGGTGAGTGGCCGGCTGTGGGCAGGGAGGTGGCCTTGGGAGAACCAGCCGGCTTCAGTACAAGGTGGGGGTGTGTGTGTGGGGAAGACATTGCTATCCCAGCCCAGCAGGAACATCTCCGGTGTTCAGTGCTTATCCCAGATGCCTCGCTGCTCTACTTTCTAGGCATCCACGGAAAAATCCCTTCCAGAGGCTGAGGGTGCTCCTGGTGTCTGACGAACCACAGAACTTCCTGGAACTCTGGTCAGAGATCCTGATGATGGGAGGAGCCGCTTCAGTTAAGCAGCAGGAATCCTCCACGTGGAAGAAAGGTGCAGGCAGCTGCCACCGGCTCTCTGGGGATGGGGCAAAGGGCTATTCGGGTGCTTTTTAGAGGGGTTGGAACAACTTCCCCCCCGAGTTGAAGGCATATTTTGCCTCTGCGTAAGGAAGGGCTTGGCATAGAAAAAAAATTAACCGCCCCCTTTTCTATTCTAAAAGGATTCCTAGGATCCTTTGAGAAACTGGGTGCATCTCCTGCGAGATCACGGTTTCATGGGAAAGTGTTAAGCATGAGATACGCAATACTAGAAACTGACCCTCATTGTTTCCTCCTGTTCTTCTAGATGTGAGTTTGGGTGTGTTTGATGTGGTGGTGACAGATGCTTCCTGCCCAGCTGCCATGGTGCCCTGTGCCAAAGCATTACAGCTGCCAGTAGTAACCCAGGAGTGGGTGATCCAGAGCCTCATTGCCGGAGAGTGTGCTGGTTTTAAATATCCGAAGTATCAACATGATTACGTCCCCTGTTAAAGCTCCCATTTTGCTTTGTGGCATTTTCATTCTCTAGATTTTAAACTTTTTTGTGGTGTTTGACTTATGCATGGTGTGCTTGTATATAGTTTTAATGTGAACTTTTATGATAAAATAAATGGTGATTTCTTATCTTGGTCATTATTATACTATTACTTGCACCGTGGAAGGATTTATCAGTAATTGCTGCCAGCCTGCCATACTGGCCAAGGAATTCTGGGAGTTAAGTCCACAAGTCTTAAAGTTGCCAAGTTTGGAGACCCCTGGTATGAATTATAGAATTTGTTTTCACAATGCAAGAAGCTATGTTGTGTGAACACAGAGAAATTTAGTGCAGGTGCTCATGGTACACAACACAAGGCTGGGAATTCCAAACTTAGGCCCCCTCCCTCCCTTTTTGCAGCAGAAAGTTTCTTGCAACAAAAGTTTCAGATGAACCTGCTGAATCCCAGGTGTGCAAGAGGAAGTTCGTTAAAAGCAGTACAAACCAGTCTCAATGAATATACTTAGAAAAGCTGATTTGAAGAGCTGCAAACACAAGGAGGGAGCATGTTAAGGTGGAATAGCTACCAAAAGTTTGGTTTGCTTTCTAGAATTTGTGAAGCCAGAACAATTAAAAGTGCTTCTCCTGGGATATTTTCCATGCAAAGTTACGGGGTGAATGTAGGTTAGAAAATCAGGCTGGGAGAAGAGAGGTTTCCTATCTCTGGGGACATTTGCAGATCCCTATTCCCAGGCCATCGACTTCTTGAAAAAAACACGGACTTTTTCATTAAAGGTTCCCGCAGTTTTGTTAGGCAATGAACGACGTTTGGTGTTTTGCTGTTTCCAGCAAAAGAGGCAGCAAATGGTGACCGTGTCTTGGCCTTGTTGTTCAAACTGGGTCTTCAGCAGAGCTTCCCCTCCGAGCAAGAGAAGCAAACAAAAGCCTGAGCAACTGGAATCTCCAAGGCCAGGTTACTTTTCACATACTTTTGCATCTTCAGAAATAGAACACAAAACCATTTATTTATACAGTTAATACCATTGCACCCTTTATAGCCACCATCTGATTTTGGCACAGAAATGGTGAAGGTGACACTTCAAAAGGCTGGACTGGCGGCTCTGCAGTCACAGCAAAAAGCGGGGACTCACTTGGGAGCCCAAAGCAATCAGTGTTCCTCTGTTGGCTTCAAAAGGAGCCCACGGAGCCCACTCCCCAAAAGCTACTGAATACGCAAGACCCCATTTGCAAGTGTTGTGGGAGCCCTGCGAGAAAAAAAACACCCCCCAGTTGCTTTGAGAGCAAATCGTGCGCCTCCTCTGCTGTCCTCTGCCGGTGGCTGGAATGTTGCTGCCACTGCAGGCCAGAACACTTCTCGGAAACCGTGGCCTTCCAGTGGGCTAATCATTCGAGCCCCACGCTGCAGGGAAAGAAAAGGGATTCAAAGGGAGGAAGCAAATTGGGCACAAATTGATACATTTTGTAATACATGGACAGATTACAACAGACGTGAGCATGAGCTGACTTAACCATAAAAGACCAGGGAGGCAGAGGGCAGCTGCTATTCTGAAGTTTCCCCCACGTGTGATAGGGAAGCAAGTAAAAGGACAAAGGGAGTGGACAGAGCGCGCCTGTTGCCCATGCCACATAGCATGTAGTACATATGTAGTATGTAGTAGTTGGAGGACATCCAACCCATCTTGGTGCAGAGATTGGAGGGGAAGCCGCAGGGCTTGACACGGCCTTTGGCCCGGTGTTCCCCACTGATTCCGTTGGAAGGGGGCTAGAGGAGCACCCTCTGCTTTGGGATGCTGAGCCTTACCTGCCCAAAGTGCCTCCAGCGTGAGTGTAGTACTTGTTATAGTCCAGGCGTAACAGCAGTTGTGCTAAGTCAGAATTTATCTGGTGATTGTGAACGCTGGAAAGAATCTTGAACAGAAGGGAGGACTGGCAGCTGAAGCCCTGCAAAGGGAAACCCAGGCATCAGAGCAGCCCTCTAGAGCCAATGCCCCCAGGGAGCCCAGCAGAATCTTCCAAAAGCCATTTCGGGCAGGAGAAGAAGGGCACTGCGATGCCCAAGGTGGGAAAAATACACTTTTTTTTAAAAAGGGTTGTGCGGTTGCATCTGGAGCAGTGACTTTGGCCCTCACCATTTTCATAGCCAGGAATGAAACGGGGGAGAGAAAACATGGACAGTGGGGCAGAGGCACCAGTGGACCTCTGAACTGGAACCGAGGAGCTATCTACGCCAAGTGTTCCACACAAACCTCAAGGCAGCTCATTTCGGCAAAGAAAAAGGCTAAAGCACAAAAGTTGGGTTCACCAGGGAAACGACAATCACACGAAAATGAAAGTACGCTCTCTTTGAGTACTGTGGCTTTACATATCAGGACAAAGTAAAAATCATCTGGTCCTTAGCAGTTCTTAAAAGTAGGTAAATACAACCTCAGAGAAAAAGCACGTGATATATTATATCATGTCATTATTTTACACACACAAAAAAGCCAAAATGGAGAAGCCTCATGTGAAAAAAAGCAAGCACACTCTTACTGCTTAGGTACATATGAAGAGGCTACGTTATCAGCCAGGTGCTGCTAATCAAATGCCTTGGATCAACTGATCCATTAGCAAGTCTGACTCTATAAAAGCGGAAGTTTTGAGGTGAAAAGTAAAGACATCAGCAATGGGCTTAGAGAAGCAATTGTTTCTGCCCATCATTCTGAGAAAGGCCATCTGAGAACATTTAAAGTCCATCATTCTATGGTGGGGAAGAGCATTCACAAGTGCAAAACATTCAAGACAATTGCCAATCTTCCCAGGAACAGAGTCTCAAAGTTAGATCCTACAATGCTCGAAGAAATTGCAAAAAAATCCAAGTTACACCTCAGACTCCACAGAGTTCACTTTGCATGTTAAATATTAAAGTTTATGATAGTACTATTAGAAAAAGATGGAAGAAGTATGGCTTGTTTCGAAGGGTTGCTAGGAAAAAAAACCTCTTCTCTCTAAAACGAATATTGGCAGCAGGTTTGCAAATTTGCACCTGAACAAATCCCAAGACTTCTGGGACTCTGCCCTTTGTGCAGAAGAGACCAAAGAGGAGGGGTTTGGCCATAATGCAGCGCCACGTTTGCCAAAAACCAAACAGCACAAGCCTGCCAACTGCCAAGCAGTGGTGGAGGGGTGATGATGTGGGCTTGTTTTGCAACCACAGGACTGGGGCACGTTGCAGTCACTGAGTTGACCATGAACTCCTCTGTATACTGAAGTATTCTAGAGTCACACAGCAGGACGATGATCCCAAAGGCATCAGCAAATCTACCACAGAATGGCTGGAAAAGAATGGAGCTGCGCATAAGCAAATGCTCACAACCTCCATGAACTGAAGCCACGTTGTAAAGAAGAGGCGGCCAAACAACGCGAGAGACTGACAACGTCACACAGAAAACGATTACTTCAAGCTATTGCTGCTAATGGTGGCTCTACAACCTATTGAATCATAAGGTGTACATGGTTTTCACACCTGGCTTCTCCATCTTGGCTTTCTTTTTGTAAAATAAAGGATGACATGATGTAACGTGTTGTATTTACCTACTTTTAAGAACTGCTAAGGACCAGATGATTTTTATTATATCCTGATAGGTAAAATCATAGAACTCAAGAGTTTGTATTTAATTTTTCACAACTGTAAAAGCAGCCAAAAGGCGTAATTGGGTTGCGAGGTGACTCGGAGAAAACCGGTTCTCTGCCAGCTGATCTTCAGCGCTACCGGTATGCCAGAACCGGGCCAAAACGGCAGAATACCTCCACTGCTTCAGTGTGCCTCTGTGTGTGGTTGTATGTGGGTGGGTGGGTGGGTGTGTACTTACCTTAGCCAGGATGCTCAGCTGGGCTGTACCTCGTTCATCCAGGGGCCCTCGGTTCTGGCTGACCAAGGAACAAAAACTATGGCAGAGATCTAAAATTTCATTCAGGCAGTGAAAAGCCTACAAAAGAAGGATCAGAAGTGGGCTATATTATTATGTATTCATTTATCTTCCCACAGTTGTAACTGTTGATTCTAAACTAATTTTACCTATGAAAATATTAATTAGTTCAGCTCTGGGTTGTGAACTCAACACTTTTTTCAACAACTTGGATTAGAATTATGGAGAAAATGCTTATCAAATCTGTAGACAACGCAAACTAAATTCCTTAGAACACAAGAAATCTAGCAAAATGATCTTGGTAGAATTGGGCTGAAAATAATTGTCAGGCCCCTGTCAGATCGCTGCCATCCGGGGAGGGGGGGGGGAGAGGAGGCTGTGTAGGTTGAATGTTTTGCATGCTTTCACTGTTGCTGTAACCGCTTGGGAGTTTGGGGAGGGGAGAATCAGCCACCTGCACAGGCTCCCCCTGACCCGGTGTCAGCCTGGTATTCAAAGTTGCAGCGCCTCTTCTCGCCATCCGGCCTCGGATTTTCCAAAAGACCTTAGCGGCATTTTATTGGCTGCAGATGGACAGGGAGTATTGGGGTGGGGGTTGGTTGAAGGGGAAATTTAGCCTAAGGCTTGGAGCCCAAATTTCAGAGCCTGACTTCTCTGCAATCACTTTCTCTCTCAGTAAAAGTTCCTTTTGAAATGCAAACTGCTGCAAGAGTTTTACTTTCTTGAGAAGGCAGCTGAAGCAGGTCCTTACAATACTGAATGTTAGAAATCACATGCAGTTTTTGAATGGGAAAATAACCAGCTGGGGAATCATGAAAAAGATCTGGAAGCCCAGCTAATTGCAAACTTCAAACCAGCAGCCCTGATAAGGCTGCAAATGGGCAAATGCAACTTTAGACTATGTCAAACAGAACAAATTCCGAAATTATAGGGCTTAATCATCCCACTTAATTTTGTATTGATAACTCCTAGTTTGAGTGAGTGTCCATTCAACTGTAAAGGATTCAAACTGGCTGGAATAGATGACCTTGAGAGGAGCCACAAGAAAAACGGGGGCAAGACTGAAGGGCACTCTTCAAGTACCTAACAGGATGTCAGTACCAAAAGGTGATCGAGATCTATTTTCTGTTCTAAGAGAGGACAGAAGATGGAATAATGGACGGAGGTTGCTGAGAGGCAGATTCCAGTTGAACATTCGGAGAAAAAATCCTCACAGGAAGAGTTCTTCAGGGGAACCAATTCCCCTCAACTAAACCGACCGTCCACACTGGGGGGAGGAGTGGGCTAAAGGCAGGGGCATGCCGCCCTTCCCCATATTTCCTTTGCACTCCAAGGGTCCAAGATAAGGTACCCACAGAGAAGCTACTTACCGGCTTCAGGAGGATGAAGGATTGGGCCAGGAGATTGCTCAAAAAGTGATCGTGGGCCAGTCGGATACTCTCAAAATCACGGGTGGAGTTGATCTGCTGCAGGAGCTGGGAGAACTGAGACTCAAGGACATCCACCTGAAAGAAAACAGAGCAGAAGCATTACTTTTAACGCCTGCGGTCAAGGCAAAGTAGAGAAAGACTTGTAAGAAGCTGTGAGAGCGCTGGCAGCTGGCAGCAGAAAAAGCGGAGAAGAAAGCAGCCGAGCTGTTTGGCCCTTTTTCAGCCGCCCCGGCAAACACTTACTTGCAGGTAATATTGCAAATTGTCCACGAGGAAAGTCATGTGATGGCGCAGCCGCCACTTGATGGCATCCGTCCGCCTGGATTCCAGGCACTTGCACCGCATCTGCAGAGCCCAGCAGTGCTGCAGCTCAGCCTGGACTCGTCTCACACTCAGCAGGTATTTGAAGACCACGTTGTACCTGCAGCCAAGAGTCGGCTGGGCTTAGCCCTGGGCCAGGAAGCCCCCAGGACTCCAGCAGCAGAAGCCCCCTCCCACTTCCCACCGACCCAGAGGAGGCAGCACTCACTTTTCCAGGACGGCGGGAGTGAAGAGGATGTGCAAAGGCCACTGGACTTTGTAGGAGAGCCCCAAGGCAGCCCAGCCGGATGTGGGGGACTCGTGAGGAGACAGTTCTCGAGAAGGGGTCTCCCGGTTCTGGGAAGGGTCTGAAAAGGAAGCCAGCCAACAACTTGGACTGAAGAAGGCTGGAGGCAGCTGGACAAGCCAAGGCCGCAGCTCAGAGAGTTGGAGGAGGCCGAGGTCCACATGGGGGGGGGGGGGGCGCCTGCAGCCTCTGCTCAGCTAGCCAAGGTGCTTGCCATCTTGGAGGAAAAACAGAAGTTGTGGCTTAATGCAGGTCTCTGCTAGGGGGAGGGGGGCACCCCCTTTTAACTCCCCAATGCGGCGTCCGGCCTCCTGCACCAACACCCACCTCGGTGTTCCTTTCCATGGTAATGGATGGTCAGGTGAAGAAAAGGCAGGAGGTTGTCGTCATCCAAGAGCACTTTGTGGGCTGACTGCTGGAATGCCACATTCACATCTGAGGGAAGGAGCCGGGGGGGGGGGGGGGTTAGTAGAAGGAAAATAGGCCTTTTGCTGCCTCCCCATTTCCACCCAGCAACTCTGGGGGGGGGCAAAGAACTATGCTTCTTCTCTCCTCTGCACCCAACCTGTCCAGGCTTAGGTATCGACACAGAGGGCATTTGAAACGGTGATTTTGGGCGTCCAACCTGGCAGAAATGCCACTCAAGGAGCATTTCAAACTGCGGGGCCTTTTTGGAGACGGAGAGACTCACCGTGCTCAGTCACTGCGGATGGGGGTGTCTTTAGCATGTGCTGTGCAGTATCAATAAAGGCCTGAAACAATTCTCCTCGCCCCAAGAGGTAAAAATCTTTAATGACCTGGAAGAAAGGCACCCTGCTCAGCCACTTCGACACCCCTACCCCTCCCCCCGGGAAACAGGACCTCCTTGTTTACCTTCAGCTGCCCTATCAAGTCGGCCTCCTCCACCATCAGCTTCCATAAGTGCTTAGGAAAGAGAAAAGCCCCAGCATCAAGATCCGGAAGCTGCACCCAGCTGCAACGGTGTGATCCAAAGCTCCTCCCCCTGCTCCTTCCTTGGGCAAGGTCCCCCTGCCCTGAGCTTCCCTCCGCGGGTTGGGTGGCTTCTTCTCCCCATTAGGAAAAGCTTCCCAAGGGTCCTTTGCTAACATGCTTCGTGCGCACAGCCTGACCTCAGCCACAGCGCTCCGGATCCAGTCAACCACAGCCTCAAAGTCCACCAGGTTGAAGAGGGGTTGCTGCTTGAGACGATGCAGCTCAGCCGCGAAAGTCTCCTCCTGGTTCTTCAGGATGGAGCCTGCGAGAGGAGAGATTTTCCAAGACTTTCCAAGACCTGGCGTGTGCAACTGGAGGCTGCCTAAATACATCAGCTCAGTCCAGATCCCAGGAACAGCAACTGAGAGAGAGAGGTGCACCTTGTCAAGGGAGTCGGTAAGGTTTAGCCCACATTGCAGAATAAGAATTCGAAGATTTAAAAGGAGGAAAATGCACCCTCCCCGGGGGGGGGGGGGGGGTGTCTATATAGAACAGCATCAGAAAGAGGGAAAACTTCATAAAGGCGAATGGCTGAAACGGGCTGCAAAGGATCTTTCTTTGATCTAGTCAGAGAGGCCTCTTGTAATCTGGATCACTGACCCAATTCAGAGGGATCGCCAGGGACCACTTTCAGGTTCTGCCCACCCCTGATTGTCCCACTTGGGGTAAGCCAAACAGGAGCTTTGAGCAAACCTGGTCTATGGACCGAGAAGGGTTGCCCAGACTGCTTGGCCCACAGCCCAGCCGTGAGGAGGAGTCCTGCAACCAGCATACAAACATCTGCCAAACCACTTCGCCCTCATTCTTACTCCCTTGAAAGAAGCCACAGCCAATCTCAGTACCTTTTTTGGTAAGAGTCACATTCTGACTCTCAAACATCTGCACAGATTCCCCTACAAAGAGGATTTTTTCAGCGACACGAGCGGGAATGTAGGAAGGCAGCATCTCCATCCGCAGGGAGAACTGTTTTGGAGAAGGGGCCAACATATTCTCTTCCTCAATCAGCCTCTGTTGAAACAAAGGTGGGTGGGAGGGAGGGAGGGAGGGATAAAAATCAACGCAAAGGAAACTCCAGAGCCATGGATGGAACATGGACCTTTTTAGAAGGCTTGGGAGGGATCTCCCCCTTAATTTAAGAGTTCAGGGACTGGGAGGGACAATGCTAAGGTTGTGGGGGAGGGGAGGAATACTGCCATTTGGCCCTTGTCCCCACTGCCCTGGGAGGCGGTTTCTAAACATGCCCAGTTCTGAAATCCTTTTCGACTCTGCTACTCAGCGGTTGCTTTGAGACCAGTTCCAGAATCCCTCCAAAGCTGCTTTATTTTGAAAGCTTTATTTTAAGCTTTACTTTTTTGGAGAAAAGTTTACTCTTCCCTGGATTCTCTTCTAAAAAGCACAAGGAAGTGAGAGAAGTTCTCCTCCTCATTCCTTTTCCTCCCCTCAAAGGTCAACATGCGCTTTCACGCAAGATCCTCAGGCTTGCTTGAATCAAATTCCTTCATTTTTGAATTCTCAGCAAACTACATTAAAAGGAATATCCAAACTATTTCTTTTCCTCAATGTTTTACTACTTCTTCCTCAGAACTGACATTCACCCTAATGTTGAACATTCTGCCCCTAAACTCTCGCAGGAGGCCCAGACAGGTAGAAGGGACCTGGGGGGGGAGGGGCGGGGGGCTGGTGGAGCTGGAGAAGGTTCAGGGTGAAGGCGTTGAAAAGAATCTGGGGCTGGAAACTCTGTGACTTTGGGAGTTTTTTAGCCTAGAAAGGAGGCAGGTGAGAGGAGACACAACTGAGATGTATAAAATTATGCATAGTATGGATAAACTGGGCAGCAGAAGTCATTTTACCCTTCCCAAAATATCAAATTACCATATGAAATTCAAAACCCAACAGACAAAAGGAATGTACACATTTGCTTTGGAATTCACTCCTCCCATGAGATCGGGTGCCAGCTGCCAGCTTGGCTGGCTTCAAAGGAAGGCTGAAGCAATTCATAGGAGTTCTGGGGACCTATTAGGCATGGCTTTGGGAAACGGAAGTAAGTTGTCCCGTTCACTCCCTTCTTCTGTGCCCACTCTCTGTTGGTGCTGATAGGAAGCGAGAGGCTTTCGGCTTTGCAGAGTCCTGCAAGGTTTGGGACTTTCTCTGCTTCTGTTTAACATCTACGTGAAGCGGCTGAGTGAGACCAGCCATCCCTACAGGGTGAGGTATCACCAGCATGCAGAAGACACCCAGCTGTATGTCTCAAGTCCATGGTGACTGCCCTCTTGCTGTGCCTGGAGGCTGTTAAGGGCAGGATGGGGAGCAACAGCCTGAAACTGAACCCTGGCAAGACGGAATGGCTCTGGATTTGGGGTTCTTTGGTCCACAGAGAATTGCCATCTCTGGTCTTGGATGGGGTGGCACAACTCCACAAAAACCCAGGGCATAATCTGCGGGTTCTCCTTAACTCACAACTCCTACTTGAAGAGCAGGTGTCAGTTGTGGCTAGGAGGGCCTTTGGCAACTGGAGGTTGTGTGTTGGTTATGCCCTTACCTGGACCAACAATCCACGTTCACAGTCATTCACTCCCCTAATTACATACCATCTTGACTACTGCAATGCACTCTACGTGGGACTACATGGGCCCTTGAAAAGTATCCAGAATCAGAGAAAAGTATCAGTTGGTTCAAAGTGCAGTTTTGTGAAAGTCTAGATTTGCACAGGTCCCCTCTCTTGCAGGAGCTGCGTTGGTTGCTGATTTGCTTCTGGATTCCAATTCAAGCTGCAGGTTGTCGCCTTCAAAGTCCTACATGCCCTTGGGGCCAGGTTATTTCAAGGACCCCTTTTTTCCCCAGGTACATTTACCTGGCCCACCAAAGCAAGTTAGGCAGGGTGTGTTACAGGTCCCATTCTTAAGGAGGTCCATCTGGAGGGACCAAGGAGGCATACGATTCGCCCCAACTAGATACTCTTTCGAAAGGCGCTGAAAACCTGGTTTGTCAGTGGACCTGGGGACTTCAGGGGTAAATGGAGCCCATCAAGGAGTTTATTAGATTGTTTTGCTGGGTTTTGAATTTGGGTTTACTCCTGTAAGCCTCCTGGAGTCACTGTGAGTTGGATGACCAGACATTTTCTTAATGAATAAACAGTAAGTAGCTTGGAGGGAACACGGGGAAGGCTCAACCTCACCATATCTTGCAGCTCTCGCAGCTGCTTCCCCGTGAGTCCTCCAATGCCCAGATCGTCGTCGTCTTCTTCCGGCTGGGCCGGGGTCAGCCCCAGGGAGGGGCCCTGCCTGATGAAGAACTCCTCGTGATGGTCCAAGAGCAGCCCGTGCAGCATCCAGGCAGAGAGCTGCTTGTAGAGAACGGCATGGCACATGGCCAAGACCCTGCGGGAGTGCAAAAGGAAGAAAAAGCTCAGGGGAGCAAACGTGACGGGCAGCAAATGGAACCAGCCTCCAGGCAGGACCTACAATTGAAGCCCCTGGATTCCAGGTGCTCTGAATTGCTCCCTTGAGAAGGGGTAACAAATGGCACTGAGAGCAGCTTTATGCTTGTGCCTGGCTGGGGGGTTGGGAATGACTGGGGTGCTGATAAAGGTCACCGGAATTATAATTCTTTACTTCTCCAAAGCTTGGCGCACCGGTGGCAAACCACCACGGCCATATTTGTAGACTGTCTCCAAGATCTGACAACCGTGAATCTGCCAAGGAAACAAATTCAGATGAATCAGTTGTAGGAAAGAAAACCAAAGGTGCCTCTTTCAGGTCTGCAGCAGCCAACAACCATCAGCTGCATTTACTCCCTCTCTTTTTTTACATCTCTGCAAATAGCAATAGCCCCTACACACACGTTGCCCCACAGTGCTTGATGGCACTCCCTGGGCAGCTTACAAGGTCAGCCTCTTGCCCCCAACAATCTGAGCCCTCCCTTGAATGACTTTGGAAGGATGGAAGGCTAAGCCAACCTCAAGCCCCACCAGGATCGAACTCCAGGCTGTGGGCACAGTCAGCCTGCACTGCTGCATCCTAATGTCTGTACCACCACCACAGCAATGTAACTTCTCTTTTGCATTTCTCATTTCCATCCAAATTTCCTCAACTCAGCTATTGGCCAGACACCTGTATTTTACTAAACTGCTCCAAAAACAAGGCTTCCCTTATCAGAGGCAGACAGGAAGAATACCATACCTTCTGGATCTTTATCTGCTCTACTACAGTCATCAATGAGGGAAACAAGAGCTGAAACTGTAAAACAAAAACCAGTATTTAAGAATATACTTGTTTTAATGAATTGGGGCAAAAAATGAATAGTTGCTTGGCAATCTGACAATCTAACATCTGGCCCATGGAACAACTTTCCCCCTGGGCTGCCTTCAAGTTACGTATCATATTTCCTTTTTATTTATTTAAAATAAACTTTATTAAAGATTAAAAAGAAAAATATATACAACGTATAAGATACGTTTTGTTGCAAATGAAACCAATATACAAATACAAATATTGACATAAAACATATATATTTCTTATCAGCTAAGACGGTATGATCGTTTATTGAAAACAATTTTACAAATATTCATTTTCTATTTTTGGTATATGCTCTTAGTTTAACCACTTCGTTTTTCAAATCCTTATCTTTTAATTTCCTGGTTTTTCTCCTTCATCCAATTATACCATTTTTCCCAAGCTGTAGTATATTTTGAGTCTACCTTATCCCTAAGTTTTTGTGTAAGTAGTCCATTTCAGCGCAGTCAAGATCTTTCTGAATTATCAAATTATTTGTTGGCATTTGGTCACCCTTCCAGCATTGTGCCAACGCAATTCTTGCTGCTGTGATTATATGGAGAATTAAGTATTTCATTTCTTTTGCATAGTCCCCTTTTAACATTCCCAACAAAAATATTTCAGCCTTAAATTCTAGTTGTATATTTGTGATTTCTTTTATCCAAATTCTAATTTTTTTCCAGTACTTTTTACTTTTTGGGCAAAGCCACCAAGCGTTTGCTCACATTTCCATTAAGTCGGATTTAAGTTTGGGTACATATTCGCTAACCTTGAAGGTGCCAGATACCACCGATAACACATTTTGTGTTGGTTTTCTTTATAAACAACCAATTTTGTTATTTTATAATTTTGTTTCGACTTTTCCCAATCTTCCAAATTAATGTTGTGCCCTATATTCCTTGCCCATGCAATCATTGGGCCTTTAGCTATTTCTTCTGCCATTTCAAATTCTAATAGATAATTGTACATTTTAGAAATTAATTTTTCATCCGTCCCCTCTAATATTTTATCTAATTGGTTTGGTTTTACCTCAATTCCAAATTCTATATCTTTTTTATATCTCGTCTTGAGTAAATATGGCCACCACTCTATTTTCATCCCTTGTTCTCTGAGTTCTTGGTTCGTCTTTAATTCTCCTTGGGAATTTAGGACATCATAATACCTAATCTTCCAGTTTCTAGGACATTGGGGTGGATCAATGCCTCCATAATGGAAACCCACCCTGGAATCTTCATATAATGTTTATGTTTAATCTCTTTCCACGCTTTTAATAATGAGCTTCGAATTACATGTCTATTAAAGTGTATCTCTTATTTCCAGGATTCCACATGAAGGCATGCCACCCCGCCTCTAGATCGTGTCCTTCTAGGATTAAGATTCTTTTATTTATCAGATTGGCCCATTCTTTAATCCATGTTAAGACTACTGCTTTATGGTATATTTCCCAGGCGGGGAGTCCAAATCCACCTCTGAATCTACTATCTTGTACTGAACTTAATTTTATTCTTGTTTTTCCCCCTGACTAAATGAATTTCATGGTATTTTTATTTAATTCATTAAATAATTTTTTATCTAATTTAATTGGAATGGCTTGAAAGAGAAATAGTATTCTTGGCAAGATGTTCATTTTGATTGTGGCAATTCTCCTTAACATTGATAATTGTGATCTCCCCCATTTTTCTAAATCCTTTTTTATTTCTAATACCAGTTTTACATAATTATCTTTTATTGTTGAACATCTTGCCGTGAGCCAAATTCCTAGATTTTTAATTTTTTAAACAATTTGTATACCCATTGCTTCTACTAATTTCTTTTTTTTTTGTATGTTAGATTTTTTGTTATCATTTTGGTTTTGTCCTTATTGTTAAACCTGCCACTTCTCCCTATCTTTCTATCTCTTTAATTTAATTGGTTCTTCTACGAAGAATACAAGGTCATCTGCAAATGCTTGGGCCATGTATTCTTCTTGTTTAATTTTTAGTCCTTTTATGTCTGAATTCTGTCTCTCAACAAAATTTCTAGTGTTATGATAAAAAGCAGAGGTGAAAGCGGACATCCCTGCCTGACTCCTTTTCCTATTTCAAATGAATTTGTCGTTTCTCCATTAATTATTACCCGTGCTTTTTGGCTTGAATATATTGACTCTTAACATTTTTTTGAATTTATTCCCAAATTTCATCTCCTTTACTTGTGGTCTCATAAATTGCCAATTTACTTTATCGAAGGCTTTTTTTGAGCATCCAGAAAAACTAGTGCAGCCTGTTCTTCTGGATGTGCCTCAGAATACTCCAGGATATCTAGTACTGTCCTTGTGTTGTTTTTTAGTTGTCTTGTTGGAAGAAAACCATTTTGATCTGTGTGTATCTATTTACTTAATATTTTTTTCAATCTCTCAGCCATTATATTCATAAATGTTTTGTAATTGGCATTCAATAAAGAAATTGGTTTATAATTTTTTATGTGGGTGGTATCTGCACTCTCCTTCGGTACAGCTGATAATCTAGTTCCTCCTCTACCTTTTAACAACAATGTTGTCTACTAGATTCCTCAGGAACCTGTTTGATCTCCCACTTGCTGCAGAGTCACTAACACTCCAAATCACACCATCAGATTAACAACATGAAAACTGAACTCATTACATATTCCACAACGGAGAATCTCTTCTCAGTTATTAAAAAAAACCCTAGTGCTTTCAGGGAGTCAGATCACAAGTGGCTTCTTCCAAAACTACAAAAGAAATGACACGATTGATTCGTTTGACTAGGGAGAAAACAATGTTTTAATAAAAGACTACACAATCCATGACCCGCTAGGTCATCCTTTCAAAGACATTTCTTTACTAGATTCCTCAACGCCTTCAACAGTGGCAAAGCTTCTAATGTGCTGAAAAAGTTGGGATATATTCAGAGATGTATCTGCCTTGAAAAGAGCCCATGTTATTTGGAAGCAACTCTATTTGAAGTAACTCAATTCAGGTGGTTTTGCCGTATGATGCATCATTTCACCCAGTTAAAGGTTACTAGAAGAGTTTTAGTTTATAGATTGGAAATCTTTTATGGACATTTTGCTGTAAATGGGCAAAAATTAACTAAGATCTTTGGAACTGGATTAAAAAGGGTTGAATATGGGAAGTAGTGAGTGAATTACAGAATATAATTCTAAAAAGAGAGAAATGGTAAAAATTTGTAACTACTGTAAAGACTTGGAAACTGCATCTTTGACTTTTTTTCTTTATCTATACTGTTTCTACCATTTTTTTCTTGAGTTCAACTTTGGTCTGAATTTGAAACTAGTGTTTCAAGCTTGAAACCTTTTGAATTTAGACTATTGCATTCCGCTATTTTATGTCTACAGCATATCATCACTCAGGTGGTTTTTGTATGCTTCAGTGAAATCCAGGGTTTCTTCAAACAATCCTTTATTGATGAGGCTTGTGATTATGGGCTTATCTAGAGCCCCTACAGTTATCAGTGATTGAGAAGTAGAGCTTTTTGTGACTTAATTCCGTTTTTGCCTGAGCGAACCAATTTGAAAAATTAGGAAGGGAAATAGTATGTTGTCAAAGTCCAGTTCTCTGAAGAAATGCAAGGTTGGAACATATTTGCACAGCTCTACTCAGTACAACAAGTAGGAGAAACAACTCATCTAAGAGAGTCAGTTCTGATGGAGTGGTTCAGGTGCTAGCCCTGAAACCAGGTGAATTCTAGGTCTCCCTAAGGCATTAAAGCCAACTGGGGGACTTTGGGCCAGTGACTCACTCTCAGCCAGACCCAACTCACAGGGTTGCTGTTCTGAGGATAGGAAACAGAATATTAACTGTGTTTGCTACTGAGCAAGAGAGGGAAAAGAAGGATAACACTGTAATAATTATTCTTACAGTAGTCCTTGCTTAAGGATGGTAATTGCAACTGGCAACTTTATTGCTAAGTGACATAGTCAAAAAGTGAGCTATCATGTGTCCCTACTACTTTTAAGGTGGTGGTTACGGCTGTCCCTCTTGCTATTGTTAGGCGAACCCCACATGGTCACAACATCACAGATCTCAAATGGTGATGCCGGGATCCCATAACAGTGAGCAGGTTGCCAAGCGCCCAGAATTGCGATTAACACACCTTCAATTGGGTTGCTGAATGAAAGGTTGTTCAATGAGAACTGCCTGTATTTCCATCTAATCTAAAAGAAAGATGAGACGGAAGGGCATGAAATGAAAAGCCTCTATAATCCCTACCCTCAAATGCAACTTCAGAGATTGGCTGCAAAAGAACAAGAATAATTCCACCCTTCAGCTCTCTTTTCAAGGACTTGTTCTCAATAGTCACCTAAGCTACTCTAATTAGTGGCATCGATTTTTGGTTCTCTGTCTCCTTTTTAAGTAGGTTCTCCATTGGTTCTATTGGGTGGAGTTTGGGCTTTAAAAAATACACAAAAAAACACAAAGCCAATCTAATCTCTGCAAAATCTAAAATCTGCTCTTTGCATCTGGGAAAATTTCCTCAAAGTGCAGATGAGAAATGGCTTCTTTGGCAAAACTCACCTGGTCCAGAGAATAGTTGACATACGAGATGGTAAGGTGAGGATCAGCCAGAAACTGCCCAAAACAGAGAGGAAAAGTGTGAGCATTCACAACGGAGTTTTTTTTTTTTGAGGGGGGGAGCGGGGGAGGGCGGACAGGTTGTCAGGATGGAGCCTTCTGCGGTATCTTACACCGCCTGCAAGACCTTATTCCAGGTAAGGTCCTACCCTGTCAGAAAATGCCAGCTTGGCATGGGTTCCTTGCCCAGGACAAAGTAGCTTGTGGTCAAAACTTGGACCCTCCCCATTCGGGTTGGGGTCTCCCTCCACCCCGCCGCCGCTCACCTCCTGCTCCAGGCCCAGCAGCGCCTGCCGGTAGGGCTGCAGCACGGCGTCCAGCCCGGTGCAGAAGGCGCGGAGGTAGATCCCCGGCGGGGAGGCCAGCAGCTCCTGCGAAGAGGCGAAGCGAGGCGGTGACTCCCCGCAGGGCACCCGCGGGCCGCCACCCGTCCCCGGGAAGAAGGCGCACCTGCGGCGGGGCGGCGGGCGGCGGCAGCGGCGGCTGGGCGTGCTCGGCGAACTGCTCGATGAACTCCTGCAGGCGGACGTAGAGCGCGCCCAGGCGGCAGACGCGGGCCAGGAGGGCGGCCTCGCTCGGGTGCAGGAACGGCGGCGGCTCCGGGGACACCTGCGGGGGGGGGGGGGGGGGGGGAGGGGGGGGGCGCTGGGCCGGGCTCGCGGGGGGGGGGCCGCCCCCCGCCCCGCCGCCCCGCCGCTGCGCCCACCTGCAGGCCGCCGCCCACGAAGAGCCCGCCCGGGTAGCCGCGCAGCGCCAGCAGCAGCTCGTGCATCATGGCGCCGTCGCGCGGGGACCGGGCCTCAGCCCCCCTTCGCAGGCGCCCCAACGACGCCCCCGGGCTCCTTGGGACAGAGCCGGCCCCGGGCTCCTTAGAGGGTGGGGGCGGGGTTCGTCTGCCGAGGAGCCCGGCCTGGACTCCTGCGGACGGGATGGGGTCCTTCAGGCACGGAGCTGGGCCGCCCGTTTAGGAGCTCCGGCCCCTCCCTCCGGGCGCCTTGTCAGAGCTGCCTTCGGGTTTTGCCTGCGCGGAGGTTGCGTGCTTGGGGGCGGGGGGGGGGCGGTTGGAGGAGGACAGGGAGCGCAAATGACCGCAGTCTGGCCAGAAAGCGCGGGAAGGCGGCTCGCTTGGGCGCAGCATAAGGGGGGAAGGGGGAGCAGGCTGTCAAGTAGGCCCTTACTCTCGCCTAAGGTAGTTTTACGTTTTTTGAATGTAACTTTTGCGAAGAAGATAAAAACTAACACGAACTAGTATAAAATAAGGAACAAAAAAAAGAAAAGTCAAAAAGTGCAAGAAAAAAGTTAAAGAAAAATAGGAAAAAAGATACAAATAAGTGGCTTCTGATATTCTTCGCAGCAGTGATAGATACAAATGTGTTTTAACTCTAAGATTGCATAATGCTCTTCTTTGAATAAAGTCATTAGCTACTTTAATTGGTGATGGACTTGTGTAAACATGAAAAAAATGAATTTGTGATTTTTGCTTTTGATGATTACACAGGATAGATGGTAATAGGAAGTCAATTTATCAATTTCAGCAAAACCTACCAACTTTACCAACCATTCCTCCATAGTGGGCAATGTCAAATCTTGAGTTTTACTTTCTTGTGGCATTATTTCCTGACCTGGACTACCTCAGAAATTGACAGAATAAAAGAAAGTATCATCCAACCTTCCCATTTTAGAAAAGGTTACTGAGAATGTGATTGGGCAATTCCTCTAGAACAGTGGTCCCCAACTTTTCCGGCTTTGTGGACTGGCCGAGGGGAGGGGAGGGCAAGGGGATGCTTTCCCTTGTGCAAACAAGGAGCTCTGCGTGCTCATGTGCTCACCCACTTCTTGCTCAGCCCAATTCCAAATGTGCTGCAGCCCAGTACCAGACCATAGCCCAGAGATTGGGGACCCCTGCTCTAGAACAGGTGTCACCAATCCCAGGCCACAGCTCACTACTGGGCCGTGGCCTATTCAGAATTGGGCCGTGTGAGTGGCTGGCTGGAGCGCACGTGTAGCTCAACTTTCCCAAGCAGTTGGCCTGCAGGCACTCATGCACATATGCACCAGCCCACCACTTGCGTAAAGACTGAGTGCCTGTGCACTCCAGCCCACCACTCGCGCAACAGTTGCATATGTGCGCACATGCACGTGACCCAGTTCCCTTCTCCCCACCCCAACTGGGCCACCAAGCCACAATGATTGAGGACTGCTGTTCTAGAATATCCTGGAGGAAATTGATTATCTGGAGCCATTTCCTGGGCTTCAGTCTAGAAGGGCATGGTACAAAGATAGTATTGATTGTGCTTGTTGATGAGTTGAGATGTGATGCATTCATACTGATATTCCTACATCTCTCAGTGACTTTGGTTACTGGTAAACACATTATTCTTCTGGTTTAAGTCCTGGTGAAGGATATATAAATGCAGTATATCATTTGGGGAGTTCCGGTATTGCAAAGCTACAGGCTCTCTGGCCCCAAGTATTTCAATACAACCAGAGTTGGGTTAACATCCTTGTTAGGTTCTTCCACAATTGTCCTCAGTGATTCAGGAAGGCAAACATACAAGGCCTGGCATTATTTACCTCCTTAGATTAGGAGGATCAAAGCATTAAAGAAAACTAGGTCTCACAGCGGCTCCTCTTTTAACGGCTCAATGATTAAAATATTAGTTTTTTTTAAAACATGGTTTTCCAAGGCGGCAGGGCCAGGTGTTAGTGATCCAGCAAGCGATTGACTCGCTCTGAGCTCGGCAGCAGCGCGGACCCTGAATTCCCCGAGCCCCCCAACCCAGTTCCGGGGCTCCGGCGGGGGCTTGTGGCGGGGCGCCCGCTTTTCCCCGGCGGCTGAGCGCGGCGAGTTTCCCGGGAGAGGCCGGCCGGACTCGGCGGCGCTGCCTAGGCGCGCTTCCGTTCCGCTCGTTCCCGCCGCGGCCGCGCCCTCCCTGGGCCGCCGCCCACGGGCGGAGCCGCCCCGCCGCTTCCCCTCCGTCTTCCTGCCTTCGCCCTCCGACGGCCTGCGCTGCGCTGGCCACCCTCCGCTCCGCGCCCGCCAGAGACCCGCCGCCGCCCCGCGCCCATGGCTGCTCCGGAGGAATGCGACGGGACGGGCGTAGCCCGGCCTCACTATGGCTGTGAGTCCGCGCGGGGGGGGCGGGGGGGGGCCGGGGGGGGGGGGGGCGCAGGGCGGGCGGGCGGCGGCTTCCTTGGCGGCGCGCTCGATCCCACCGGGTTGGCGGCGTGCAGGGCGCCGGGGGTTCGGCCGCCGCTCCCGACCCGCCCTTCCGCGCCCAAGATGGCCGGAGACGCTGCTACAGTCCCGGCGCCCCGCGCGCCGCCGAGGAGCGGCCTGCTCCTGCGCCTCTTCTGCTGCTCGGCAGCTGCGGATTGGGCGCAGAACCCCGCTCGTTGCGCGCCGGGCCCTGCGGCCGCCCTTGCCCGAGCACTCCCGGGGATCTGGCTCCTCAGCCCGGGCGCCTTGGCGACCTGCCCGGCTCGGCCGGGTGGCTCCGTCGGCGCGAGACGGTGAGGGTGAGCCGCCGCCGCCGCCGCCGTGAGAGGACCGGAAGGGAGCCAGTGATCGGTCGGAGGGCTGCTTGGCAGGCGGCCCCCGGGTGGGGAAAGCCCCGGCCGGGCCGAGGCGGCGGTGGGGAAGCGGGGCGGCGCTCCTTCCCCTGGGAAGCCCCCCCCCCCCGCTGGCCCGCCGGGAGTGACCGCGCCTCTCCTTGCAGCTGTGCTGGACAACGAGAGGATGACGGCGGAAGAGATGGACGAGCGGCGGCGCCAGAACGTGGCCTACGAGTATCTGTGCCACCTGGAGGAGGCCAAGAGGTGAGGCAGGGCCTGGCGGGCGGGCGGGCGGGAGAAGGCGGCCGCCTTGATGGGTTGGGTTGCCCGCCGACCTGGACCGCTGCTCGGAATGGTTTCCGTGGCCTCCGACTTGGCTTCCTGCCCCGTCGGTACCGACCCAGGCGGTCTAAGTCGCGCTGCATCTCGGAAGGACGGGAGGCGCTTGTTGGAGGAAGGTTATTGGTGAAAGCCTGAGCTTTGGGGCCGCTCAAAAGAAGGGAAAGGCTGGGGGTTCAAGGCTGCGATGGACCCCGGCCCCGTCCTTTGATCTGGGCTGCAGCAAAGGAGGTTTCTGGGATTTATCAGGTATTGTAATTGTATCCGGCCTGAAGCTCCTCGAAAAGTTGTCTCTCCGCACTAAGTGGCATGAGGAATGGCGATCCAATTTTGTTAAAAATTCTATGGCTTAAAAGGTATAGCTAGAAAATTGAAATGCTTTCTTCACCACTGGAGATTTTGGGAGGAAAAATACAGTGAAGTCCACATTGGAATCCTGAATTGTTACCAACCAAATGATTTGGGAAATGAGATTTTGTTACATTTATGCCCTGCCTTTTCTTTATAGAAACGCATGGTAGCAAACACACCATTCTTTTCTTCCCACGTTTTTCCCTAACAACAAGCCAGTGGGGTAAAAATAGGGGTAAGGGCCTCTTTTAGGGATTACCTCGTTATGAGGAGGGTTGCAGACATCATCATTTCTCCACCTTTATGGTGTCTGCTGGTAGCCGTCCCATAGCCCCATTTAGGATGATGTCCCTACAGGGAACATCTAGGGCAGACATGTCCAACAGGAGGCCTGCGAGTAGATGTGGCCCGCGATGTGGTCAGAAGGCCTTGCCCTGGAGACAGTGAGGGAGAGGCCCCCACTGCTTTGGCCCATCTCGGGAGGCGACGAGCACATGGGGCCTGGCGCCCAGGGTGGCCCCATGGGCCAGGTCTAAGGCTGAGTCATCTGGTCCAGGTGGCCATTGTGAAGTTGTTATATATCAGCGCAGGGGCATTAGCAGCGCAGCGTCCATCACCAGCGCCTCCGCCACCTTCATGGCCCGCTCGCCAGCACAGCCTTGCACACTGCACACCCTGCAGCCTGCAAGCTTTCACCAGGATGGCCCCTCCCCCACTCCACTCCTGCGTGGGAAAGGCAGGGCCACCAGCAGCGCTGCCACCTCTCCCCCTCCCCCCCCCTGGGCAGGAGAGAGGGAGGGAGGAGATGGGAATAACGAGGAGGAAGCTGAGAAAGAAGGAAGGGGGAGGAAGGACAAATGGGAATGAGAAGAAGAGGCAAGGAAGCGAGGGAGAGAGGAAGGAGATGGAATGAAGGAGAAAAGGAGGGGAAGAAGGAAGGAAATCAGAAGGAGAGAGGCAGGGAAGAAAGGAAGGAGATGAGAATGAAAAGGGGGGAGGGAGGGAGCTTGGAATGAGAGGGAGGGGGATCTGAGGGAAGCCCTGCCTTAGCACTTGGCCACCAGCAGCCCTGTTGCCCTTTTGGCATCCCCTTGTCCCCTTCCTCATGGCCTCTCCTGGTGGTCTCCCATCCTATCACTGAGGATGCTTTGCTTACAAAGCCGGGTCTCCTCGCATGGAGAGGGAGTGGGCCTCCCTCTGACCCTCCTGCACACACCACGAGCAGCCTCAAGATAAGCCTGGCCAGGTGCCCTTTTGGGGAAGCCGGTCTGGGCTGGGCTGGGCTGCAGGGTCCTGTGCCCCAGGAGCTCGAGGGCGCTTGCACTCCACTGCCCGGGGCTCTGGGCAGCCAGCACCGCCACCTGGGGGTCCTCTAATGAACGAGGCCTTGGCGCTCTCCCTGGCCTCCCCTTCCTCTGCTGGAGACATCCAGATCCCCGCTCCCAGCCTTGTTGGGCCCTCCGCAGCAGGCAGAGGACGATGCCGCCGCTGTGGGTGGAAGGGCGGAGGAGAAAGTTTGCAGGAAGCAGTTTCCTCCAAGTCCAACTTCTGCTTTGACAGCTCTATGGAGAGGAGGAGGGGTTGGTGGGGGAAGGCTGCTCCAGCAAGCCAGCATCCTGACCACACAGGATTGGAAATGAAGGTTCCCTTTTGAGAAGGA